CGCGCGCTGCACGCTCTGGCCTTGGTCGCAGGCTACGCTGAGCCGCTGAAGAGCGTCCCGCCCGAGAAGTTCAACCACACGGCAGTCCCCAAGGGCTACCGCTGCCCGTGGCAGGAGTTCGTCAGCGGCCGGGACTACTGGAGCGAGGGCCGGAGTCACACCCCCAGCCTCGGCCACTGCAGGAATTTCAATAAGTAAGGCCGGGCGGGCATTTGCGGGAGGCCGGGGAGGGGAGGTGTGTGGCAGCGGGAGCCCTCATCTCCGCCGCACTGTCCAGGCCAGCTCTGGCCCCAGCACGACATACGTTGAGGTCTTGCTAGAACAGAGCCTCAGCACCTGAGAGGCGATTCACACCGGAAGAGTGGATGGGGAACGTGCCGCGCTTCCGGCTGCATCCTCTACAACAGGATGAGCCAGGTGCCACGATTTCCCCAACCTGCCCAGAGTCACATCAAGGAGGAAACAAGCAGCAGGGCAGGGCTTGTCTGACTCCAAAGGTGCTGTCTGCTTCTCTGTGCTGCTGTGGGCCACCTTTATGATGGCCATCGAGAATCTTTCCCAGGGGATCCCCAGATCTCAGAAGTCCTAGACCAGCTTAGCCTATCCTTACTCTCAGCAGTGCTGCTGAAGAGGCCTACAAGGTAGCTTTGAGGTGACCCAAAGCAGGGAGTGGCACTAGAGGAGAGGGCCACAGAGGAGTGACTCAGACTGGTTTAGAATGTGGAGCCTCAGTGTGGATCCAGGCCTGGCTTGGTGACCTTAGGCGAGTGATTTAACCCATCTGAGCGTCTGTTGCCCCCAATCTGTACCTGCTTCGTAGGGTTTGCTGTGACGTGAGACACCACAGAAAAAGTTTCTGGCAGGTAATAAGCTCTCAGTAGGTGGTGGATACTTCTGCTAGAGTCTACAGGCTGAAATGGTGATTGGAGAAGCTGGCAGGGAAGAACTTGAAAGAGACCAGTTTAACATTCTGCCCTGAAAGCCAGAAAGCATCTGTAGGAGTCAAGACGAGCTTGGCTCTGGAGGAGGCCCTCAGGCTGGGGATTTATTTCCATGGCTGTGGCTTCCTTGGTCTCATGCTGTTTCTGAATATGCTCCTTGGTCTTTGGCTGCACTGCGGAACAGGAAGGTCCCTAGAAAGGAGGCCAAGCGCCTCTAGCAGCTGCTCAGACCACACATGGAGGTTGCCTGACAAAGACAGAGGGGTGTGTGCCAGGCCTGCCTAGGCCTGGAGGTGAGACCCTAAGAGGAAGGAGCAAAGGACCGGGCAGGGGCACATGCAGGGGTGGGGTGGGCTCCAGAAGAGACGACTCAGGAGGGGTGTGTCTGCCTTCCGCTGTCTGAATAGCCAGGGAGGCCTTGGCGGGAAGAATTGGCCCGAGCCACTGGCAGACATCCTAGAGTTCCTCCCCAGACAGCTACCCTGTCTGTCCTCTCGGGCCCCACATTTAAAGCCCTCAGCACACTTTGTGTCCTGGAAGCCAGCTTCACGGCTGGCCAGCTCCTGGGGTCATCTCCCACCCATCTCACGGCTCAGATCGATGGGCTGTGGCATCTTCCCACCTGCAGCAGGAGGGTCCTTGGCAGTCCTGAGCCCGGACCTCTTCTGGAACAGAAGGAGCAACTGAGGCACAGGCAAGAAAAACAGCATTATTGGTAGCCAAGCAGAGCTCAGAATTCAGGGCTCTGGGCTCCTGTGAGGCCCACCTGGCATGGACACGGCCCTGCCTGTTCCTGCAGGGCCTGGCTGCTGTGGCCACAGCTGGGTTGGTCCAGGCAGCAGTGCTTTCCAGACAGGGTCTCAGCCCTGGCCTAAAGTTTGCCTTTCTACCCCGGAGGCAAGTCTTCCGTGCTTCCCTCTGGTTTCTGCTGTAGAAACAACACTAAAGGAACAGTGCCTTTTGTCTTCCTTAAAAGTAAAAAACGGTTTTTAAATCACATACATGTGTGCACACACATGAAGTGTGATGGAAAAAATATAGCGTGTGCTTAAAAAATTATTATAGTAAAAGACACACTGCCATTAATTCCTCTCAAAATACTTCTCCCATTGCTCTTACCAGTTTGAGGCCATTCTGGAAGTCCTCCTTCATGTATGTCTTTAGATGTAGTATCCTGGTTTACTTGACATCCTTTTACCTTTTTTTTTTTTTATTTAGAGAATACTTTATTAGTTTCTGTAATCAAACCCACGTAGATAAGACCTTACATATTTAATACAGTGCGTTACCCCTGTGCAAATGGAAAAAAAATTAACATTTCTAGACCAATATAGCTGTTAATTTCTGTACAATGCCAACTCAACACAGTAAACTGGGATAACTTTTTCCAAAGTTGACAGAACAGTTAAAGTTTCCAAAAATTCAAATTATATATATATATATATGTATATATATATTTATATTTATATAAAAAGACCAATAATAGCAGTATGTTATGCATCAATAGCAGCAACAGCTTTTCCAGGTTCTGCAGTCATCTGAACAAAATTATAGACATCCAGCACACTCCATTAAAAAAACAAAAACAAAAAAACAAAGAAAAGAATAATACCCAGAAAACAGCAAAGTTCTGTTACTGTTGTGGTACCTGGCACCATTTTTTTATTAGCATCTTAAATCATCATCTGGAAAGAAAACATTCTAGAGTAACATCATTAAAAACAGCTCTGATAAAGCACGGTCACTACTACGTATCATAAAGCAGGTACAAGATATTTTACATTCACCGAGGTATGATACAGTACCGTCCTACATCTATAATACTAGAGGATACAATTAAAAAGGCCTTATTTCAGACTTGATTCTACTTTTTCCAGCAGAGGGCCCAAAGGATGATATGACACAGCTCTGGAAAGAAATGTACTTTCTTAGATAGGGTTTCCTTTCATTAACGGCACAGTTTAATTTCTCTTCATGAACATCAGCTAAAAACCATTTTTAAAAAACCTGGGGTAAACACAAAACAACAGAAGAAGAAACAGAAAAGGATTCATACAAAGATGATTGAGTGAAGGCAAGCAATACTCAACCTAACTAGTATTTTATCAAATCTGTCATGTTTGAAAGGTAAGAGCTCCACTGGAGAGAGAGACGCCAAGTAGCTTTTACCTTTCTTTGTCATTTTGACTTTGGGGAAGAGGCGAAAATCTGCTGGTTCCAGATTCGGGAATAAGGCACATTTTGCACACTGAAGCAGACTCCAAAGCACAGAGTACTTTCAGGACTGCTTCGGAAATGGCAAGAATGACGGAATGTGTGTGTTCACAGCGAGGGAGAGTATTCAGGGGGATCATGGCCCTGTCCTTTCCTGTGTTAAATCTAAGCTTAAACATCCAGTGTGGTTTTGATCACCAGTTGTGTGTTCTCTTTGAAAAAAATTAAGTACCTACAACTAAAGGCAGGGCTCCTATGTTCTCCAGGCCCAAGTCCCTTTCCAGAGGTGACGTGGCTGTTGGGTTGGCCTGTATGTGTGCGGGCACTTTGTACAGACAGATGCGTGCTTACAGACTGTGTGTGTGTGTGTGTGTGTGTGTGCGTGCACGCGCTTTGATGCGGTACTTTCTATTTCAGTCTGTAACTTACTTTTTTCCATCCATTGCTATGCTTTTGAGTATCCTCCCTTTAGAGCTGCTGCATTGCATTCCGTCACTGATGTATTATCTCTGTCTTGTCCTTTCTTTTGCATGGGTCCCTTCTGCTTGTGGCTAATGCCCTGCCCATCTGCTTCCCTGCATACGCAGTGCCTCCCTAAGCTAGATGCTTAGAGATGGAGTTGCTGGGTGACGATGGTTGCACCTTTTCAGCTTAGGAAGGTCCTGCCAGGTTCTAAGGCAGCAACACTGATTTACCTCTAAGCAAATGACTGAATGAAACTTTGTCCCTACCTCATCGGCTTTGCCTCTATCAAATTATTTCCCTTTGCCAGTCTTACAGGGGAGAGATAACATGTATCTGTTGTAAGTTACATTTCTTTGATCCTCACTGCTTTTTCTACCCTCCCTTCTCTCTCTAGGTTGTGAGTCACTTCTCCAGGGGAAGTGACAAGAGCAAGGAAAAGCCTTACTTCACTGGCTGCTCTTAGGGAATCCTAGACTTTAGCCAAGGATGAGCCAATTCTTTTTTTTTTTTTTTTTTTTTTTTAAAAAAAATTTTTTTTTTTTTTTTTTGTACTGAGGAATCAAACTCAGGACCTTGTGCTTGTGAGGCAGGTGGCAGAACCACTGAGCTAACTACCCGGCCTCAGTGAGCCAATTCTTAACCCCAAAAGGTTCAGGCCTACTCCATACCATCAGGGGCAGACTTGGGAAAGGGGAAAGATGGAGACGCCAGTTAACAGAACCTATATACCCCAGAAGGGAAACTGAGGCCGGGGGGAGCCAGAGAGGGGTCACACGTGGTGACCTGTCTGTCGGTGTTCTGCCGTCCCTCTCCCGCACAACCCACCTCTCCTGTTGCTTTCTTACTCCAGGATCCCCGTGCCGTTTGGAGGAGTCCTCGTGGGGGAGGCCATTTCCAGGGCAGCCGCCCCCTTTGTCCCAGAGCCCTTCGATGGTTTGGAACTCCTCCGCCTCAGACCCTGCTTCAACCGGATGGCTCAGGGCTGGGTACGCAACCTCCCCGAGTCTGATGAGCTGTAGCCCCAGCTTTCAGTTCCCCAGAATTGGGGCGCAGGTGACGTCTGGAGCCAAGACTCGCGGACAGCACTTTACAGTTTATGAAGAGTCTTCATGCACAAATCGCTATTGCAAATGGCCTCGAGGGTCACAAAGTTTAGTAGTCTCCAAATGCAGATGTGCTCCAGAATTACCTGGGATATTGGTCCTGAAACAGACTTCTGCTCTGCCTCCCATGTGCACCATCAGAGCCTCCTGCACTGGGAGTCTCCATTAGTACTCAGCGTTCCAGGTGACCCCAGTGTCACCCGTCCACGGTTTGTCTTGCACCTTACCCGATGACAGAGTGGGGCACTTGCAAGGAATCCTTGAGCAGGCCCCTTAGTTCAAGTGACGACGAGGATGGTGCTGGTGGTGGCTGCATTCTGTTTAGGGCCTCAGTGCGTGGCCCGGCAGTAGGTTCCCTATGTATTCTATTCCCCAATCTCTGGATGGCTGCATGGTACTTTTCTCCCTATTTACACTGGTGGGTATCCAGGCCCAGAAGAAGGAACTGTCTTGTCTAGGGCGGGCACAGTGACAATCTGTCTGACTCAGGGGATGTGTATTTCTACTGTCCTGGGTGTCCAACCCTGTGCCCAGTCGCCTATAATCACTGGTCTTGGTGCCCTGCCTGGCATTTGAGAGGTTAAGAGTGGAGGCTGGGGTGTCTGATCGGATGGGATGGGTTCTGATTCTACCCCCGTGAGCCATATGACTTTAAGGAAGTCCTGTCACGTCTTGAGGCTGATTCTCCTTCTGTAAGGTGAGATAAACACAGAAGCTCTTGAGTTCAGTGAGCACTTATTCCTAAGGGCCCAGTGTTAGGCTTCTGGCAACCACTCTCTGCTCTTGGCTGGAATAGATGCTCCTGCAGAGAATGCAGCCAGAGAAGAAACGGGGTGGGACGCGCTTGGGTTCAGGGAAGCTGGTGCCAAAGGAAAGCATCTCACTGCTGCAGCGCCCCCTTCAGACAGGAATTCCTCCTGCCTCCTTGCCTCCAGGATGGGTGGAACACTGGTTACGTTTTCCTTTTGCTCCAAAGTTTCTCTCCCCATTTGGGTCTCAGGCCAGTAGCCTGTCTCTGAAGATTGCTTGTATTTGATGTGTTCTCTTGAATCTGTGGGCTTTTTCCCTCCTTCTTTTTTTTGGTCCTGGGGGTTGAACTCAGGACCTTGCATTTTCAAGGCAGTGCTTGTGAGGCACGTGTGGCACCACTGAGCTAAATCCCTGGCCCTGTGGGCTGTTGTTTAAAGTCAGGTTTCTCCGAAAGTGGAAACAAGGGCTGAAATGTATAATGGATGTTGGGAAATGGGAAGAAAGTGTTCAGATGGGAAGGGGAACAGGGCAGGAGGGAGGGAGAAGGGAAGGGAGGAACAAGAAGAAAGTGAAAATAGAAGGAAAAGTGGAAACAGAGCTTTTGTACCTAGGGAGAGTGGGGGCTTGAGGGGGAGATGGGATAAAATAAAATGAATAAAGCCAGGTTCCTGTGAGCTGAAGAACCTGAAAGTGACTGGAAAGTAAAAGAGACTTGAAATAGCTTGGGTGGGCTCTGCGGGGCCCTGGAAGGAAACTGCAGCCGCCATGCACAGAAGAGAGCCTGGGAACGGGAGGGAGGGTCCTGGACCCCAAAGGGGCTCCTCATTCCATTCGTCTTTGATCACCTGACCTTAGCTGAGGTTAAAAATGCTGTTAAAACGAAAAACAGGGAGAGAAATAAAATATGGAAATATCTGCCCAACAGAAGCCCTCATCCCATTCGTACTCCCTACCCTCCTGCGCTGGAGGAAGCCACGAGAATTAGGAAATCCTGTGACTACACCTTGTGTCAATGGAATTGTACTGTATGTACTGTTCGTTATTCAGGAAATAAAATTCCGATCCCGAAAAGGCAGATAATTAACCTTTCATGCGATTTGGGGGCCTAACAAGTTCTCCTTGATATTTTTGCCTGTTTTTGTTCTTTATAGAAATGGAAAGGACCAGGACTAACCCAAACATTGAGAAATCTGAAAATAGACACAACGGCAGAGAAGGAACTTGTTACATGCAGTCACAGAAATACATCTTAATAATACAGTGGTAAACAAGGGAAGTATGCAAATAGTTTCATGGTTACTGTTGCAAAGAAATGTTTACTATAAAACTTAGAATATTGGCTGGGAGTGGTAGCACACGCCTGTAATCCCAGCACTCGGGAGGCTGAGGCAGGAGGATCGCTGTGAGTTCGAGACCAGCCTGGGCTACATAGTGAGTTCCAGGTCAGTCTCAACTACATAGTGAGACCCTGTCTCAGAAAACAAAACAAAACAAACAAACAAACAAACAAAAAGTCAGAATAGTGGTTAAGTTTGAAAGGAGGGAAGGACTTGTGATTGCGAAGAGACAGAATACCCCCTCTGGGGTAACTGCAAGTTTTCTGTTTCTTGACATGGACGATGGTTACTTAGAAGTTCACTTTAAAATATTTAAGTTGTACATGTTTTATGTACTTTTCCGTATTTTACCAAAATAATCCCTTCTTTTAAGAAAGTTACTGATCAGATTAACAGAAGATTAGACATACCTGAAGAGTGCCCATAATGCATCACATTAGGTAAAAAGAGAAAATATGAGAAAAGACATGGAAAGAAAATAAAAATTCTCAAAATAGCAACTTTCCAACAATGAAAAACTATCCTCAAGAAGTGTGACGGTTAGTCTCGCTTGTCTCCTTACGGATGGAGGGACACCTAGACAGGCATGTGGGTCAGGGAACTAAGTGGGAAAGATGCCCCTCCAAACATGGGCACCTCTGGGGCTGGGGCAGGGGCTGGCGTGGAATAAAAAAGCAGAAGAGGGAAACTTGCTCTTCCTTTCTGAGTGGGCTCATGCCCATGTCAGAAGTATGCATTTTATTTTTTTTATTTATTTATTTTTTGGTACCGGGGATCAAACTCGGGTCCTTGTGTTTTTGAGGCAGGCAGCAGAACCACTGAGCTAAATCCCTGGCCCAGAAGTATGCATTTTAGATAAAAATAGCTTGGCATTGGCTTCAAGGAAAATGGGTTTATAGATACATTTTGCCTGTTTCCTTTTAAAATGCCTCAAAGAATGACTTTTGTTTTGTTTTGAGACAGAGTCTCCAGGCTTAAACTCTCAGTTGTGCTACCTCAGTCCCTTGGGTGCTGAGATGACTTTTTAAAAGTCAGCATGGTGGTGCACACGGGTCGTCTCAGCACTCAGGCAGCCAAGGCAGGAGGACTGCTGCATGTTCAAGGCCAGCCTGAGCTACATAGTGGTTCAAAGTTCAGCCTGGACTAAATGTGTGACCTGTTTCAATAAGTGCGTGGACCTGGGTGTTCTCCAGAATAGACCACACTCTAGCTCATAGAACATGCTTAAGTAAATGAAAAGGAAATGAAATTATCCCATGCATATTATCAGACAAGTGCAATAAAATTATAAATCAGTGACAAAAGAAACCCCAAGAACTTCATGAACACATGGAAATTGGATAACACTCTCCTGAACAACAAATGGGTCACAGATGAAATTAAAGAATAAATCAGTTTGTATAATTAAACAATAATGATAATACAACGTACTGGAACTTATGGAATGTAGTGAAAGCAGTCCTACAAGGGAAGTTTACAGCAGTGAATATCAGGAAAACAGAGCAGGCTAAAATAAACAACTTAATTTTGAAGCTTAAATTTCTAGAAAAGAAGAGCAAGGCAAGCCCAGAGTTTGTACGAGGGAGGAAACTATAAGAGTTAGAGCAGAAATTAATGCAATGGAGACTGAAAAAAATACAAAGAATCAATGAATCGAACAGTTAGTTCTTTGAAAGATTAAAAACAGATAAGGGCTGGGGATGTAGCTCAATGGTACTGTGCCTATCTGGCAAGTGCAATGTCCTGAATTTGATCCCTGGTATAGCAAAAATAAACAAACCCTTATCCAACCTTATCAAAGAGAGAAAAGAAAAGATCCAAATCCATGCAATTATGAATGAAAACTGTAAAATAACAATGGGTCCTGCAGAATTCCAATCATTAATACCTACTTCAAGAACCTGTACTCTAGTAAGAGGGAAAATACAGAAGAACTGGACAGATTCCTACATACACATGAATTACCAACATTGAATCAAGAAGATGTAAGATTCTACATAAGCCCGTATCAGCCAATGAAAATGATTATGTATTAAAAACTTACCTACAAAGAAAAGCCAAGGCCCTGTCAGATTCACTGCTGAATTCTACAACAAATTTAGAGAAGACCTAATGCCACTCCTTCTAAACTCTTCAGTGCGATTGAAAGGAAAGCAGTACTCCAAATTTCATTCCTGGAAGCAAGCATTACCCGGATACAAAAACCAGAGAAAGATCCAACCAAAAAAGGGAACTACAGGCCAATCTCCTAATGAACATAGATACCAAAATCCTCAGTAAGATACTAGCAAACAGAATGCAGCAAATCACCAAGGAGATTACACACCCTGGCCAAGTAGGATTCATCCCAGGGATGCAGGGATGGTTCAACATATTCAAATCGATAAATGTAATTTAACTGTATTAATAGAGACAAGGACAAAAACCATACGATCCTCTCAATAGATGCAGAAAAAGCACTTGATAAGGTCCAACCTCCATTCGTGATTTTAAAAAAAGCCTACAGAAAATTGGTATAAATGGTCTTTATCTCAATCTGATAAAAACCATCTATGACAAACCCACAGCCAACATCATACTAAATGGACAAAAACTGAAAGCTTCCACTCTAAAAATCAGGAAAAAGACAAGGAAGTTCACTGTCACCACTCTTATTCAATATAGTTCTGCAAACAGAATTAGCCACAGCAATTAGACAAGAGAAAGAAAAGGAAGGACAGGAAAGGAAGAAGTTAAATTATCATTATTTGCAGATGATATGATACTCTACAGAGAAGACCCCAAAAGCTCCACCAAGAGGTGTACAGATTTAATAACCAAATTCAGTAGCATAGCTGGATACAAAGTCAACATTTAAAAATAAGTAGCATTCATATACACAAATAACAAACTTACTGAGAAATTAGGGAAACAATACCTTTTACAACAGCATCTCCCCCCTCAAATGAAATATCTAGCAATCAATGTAACGAAGAAGTAAAAGACCTCTACATTGAAAACTACAGTACTCTGAAAAAGGAGACCAAAGGGGATATCAGAAAATGGAAAGATAGCCCTTATTCTTGGGTAAGAAGAACCAATATAGTGAAAAATGGCCACACTTTCAAAATTGTTATACAGATTCAATGCAATCCCAATCAAAATCCCACCATCATATTTTGCAGAATTAGAAAAAAATAATCCTAAAACTTATTTGGAACCAGAAGAGACCTAGAATAAATAGCAAAGGCAATTCTGGGCAAGAAAGGCAAGGCAGGGGCATCACAATCCCACTAAATTATGCTACAAGGCTACTGTGTTTAAAACAGCATAATACTAACAAAAACAAAACAAAACAAATAGACCCAAGGTTCAGTGGAACAGATTAGAAGATGCAGAAACTACTCCAGCCATCTTAACTTTGACAAAGGAGCCAGACACCTTCACTGGTAGACCCTTTATTAAACAGTGCTGGAAAAACTGGCTTTTCACACGCCAGCAATTGAAACGAGACCTCTGTTTTTCACCATGCACTAACCTAAGACTAAAATGGCTAAAATATTTAAATATTAGAACAGAGACACTAAATCTGTTGGAAGATAGAATAGGCAGGACTCAAAGACACTGGTGTAGGAAAAGACTTTATGAACAAAACCTCAGTAGCACAGGAACTGTCACAAAGAATCAACAACTGGGACCTCATCTTATTAAAAAGCTTCTGCACAGTAAGAGAAACCACTAACAGAGTGAAGAGACAACCCACAGTGTGGGAAACTTTTTTTTTACCAGTTATTCATCAAACAGTGCTACTATCTATATAAAGAACTAAAAACTATCAGACCTCCAAATTTAAAGACCTGATCCAAAAATGGGCATCTGAAATGAACAGACACTTCTCAGAGGAAGTAGAAACAGCAAATAAATAAATGTTCAACATCCTGGGTCATTTGATCAATGCAAATTAAAGCAACTCTGAGATTCCATCTCACTCCAGAAAAAATGGCTATCAAGAAATCAACCAACAAATGCTGGAGGGGTTGCGGGGAGAAAGGAACCCTTCTAGAACCCACTGTTGGTTTGAGTGCAGACTGGTGCAACCACTGCGCAAACCAGTGTGGAGATTCCTTGAAGAACTAAAACTAGAGGTTCCATTTGATCCAGCTGTTTCCCCTCTTGGTATCTTTCTGAATTAAAACAGTGATCTATGCTCACCCATGTTTACAGTGGCACAGTTTTTAATAGCTAAATCTTAGAAACAGCCCAAATGCCCACCGGCCAATAAATGGATAAAGAGGTGGGTTTTTTATACGATGGAGTACCATTCTGCCATAAGGACGAGTTTCAGACATTTATAACTAAATGGATGAGACCATAACTTAAATGAAATAAACAGGACACACGTTTAAATGTTTCTCTGGTATGAGAAGCCAAAAGTGGAAAAAAAGGACTAAAATGGAAATGGGAAGAAAATGTTCAAGTGGGAAGAGGAGGAACAAGGGAGGAAAGGATAAGACAAGAAAAAGTGAAAACAGAAGGAAAACATGGAAACAAAACTGTTGTACATAGGGAGGGGAGAACGGAGAGGTGGGAGGTATCACACACAGGTGTAGACTGCTCACTGTTAACAAAAGCAGGCACACGTGTCTGAGACAGACTTCTAAAGCCCCATTTATCAACCACACGCCAGGCTCTGTGCTAAGTGCATTCTTCTGTATTCTTACCTCGGTCTCACCATCAACTTTTGACACAGGTACTAAAGATGCGTGGACCTTTTGATCATCATGGAATGGATACGATAGTCTAAAGCAAGATTTTAAATTCACTTGTATGTAACTTATTTCTAATGTCCACTGAGCTGAAATTCAGCTGCCAAAAGATAAAGAAAACAGAAATCTAGAAGTGAGCAAACCATTTTTTGGAAAACTGACCCGTTTTAATTATTTAAAAACAATACAACACATCAAATTTTCCTTACATCTACAGTTCAGTTATATCCAAACAGTCTAAGACCAAATATTCCTCTGCCCAGAGGCAGGGGATTTCATCGAGACGCCGAAGACACACAAAGGCGAATGCTGAAGACTGGAGTTCCAGGCGTAGGTCACAAGTCTTCCATTCAAACACACTCCAAAGCTTTTTTTTTCAGTTTGTTATTGTGTTTTATAGGAAGCTTTCCCAGACACCGGGTTTCTTCAATGATACACAGCTCCATAAAGTCTGTATTTCATCTGATAGGAATAAAAAGTAATTTTTACTTTTGTCCTTTTTTTGGTAGTGGAAAAAAGTAAAACTATCAGATTCCTGTAATACTTGAGAAAAAGGAACAGAAAGAAAAACTGGGATGTGCTGGGTGTTGGTTTCTGCTTGTTTGAGGGTGTGACTTCAAGAGTTAAATCATTAAATCACTTATGCCACTACAATGATTAGTACTAAATTTTTTTAGATGATAAAAAAGAAAATACTCAATAGTCATAAAAATGGTCAAAAGGATTTTTTAAAACCACAGGTCTATTTTGCCCCTCACATAAAAAGATACAAAATGAACATAGAATTGGGGTGGTAACTGTTGGACAACCCAACTGACTCATCTGCTTGTCCCTGTGCAGATTAAGAGAAACAGGCATTAGGTTTCTTAGCAGTGTTATTGCAGTCACCAGCTGTGTTCATGGCAGCTCATCTGAGTGAGGTCCAGTGATCCTGGGGTACGTGTAAGGAAGCATGGCTGTCATTTTCCAATTGTCCGTATCTGAAAACATTCAGCTACCGTGGAAACTACAAATGGAGGAAAATCGTGTTTATTCCAGTATTCGTGTACTGGGATTTTAAAGCGCCCTATCTTCCACAGAGCTCCGGAGTAGTGATAATGTGCTAGGGGCTGCTGTGTTTTCCGGCGTGAGCTCCCATCCGTTGAGGATCCTGAGAAGGATAGTGAATTGGTCCTGGAGCCCTCATGAAAGGAGGGGGTGGTCCCATTGGATGGAACATGTGGGGTCCAAAACCTGCACATGGGACAGAACAAATCTGTTAGGCTCGACGTTCCCTTGGCAACCTTTCAAACCCCCCAATCTTATGAAAAATCAAGATCACCTACACATAAATCAAGTCAGGTCACAGGATTTGCTTAGGAGAATCTACCTGTATATTTCTGGGTTTTGAAATCTTTCCTTTTAGTCCAAAGAACTCCACAGGACTCAACACATCTACAAAGACACCATCCGAGCAGGTGCTGTGTATTAAACATACCAGATCCTACCAGGCAGGATTCGATCGGGATGTGGGAAACAAGGAAGAGACTAGGTGTACGGTGAGACCTGTCAACATTACCTTCGGGCTTCACAGGAGAATGGAGGGTGTTTAGCTCTCCCCCTGGGATTACCTGAGGCCATTCTCTGCCACTGACATTCTCTAGAGCAAAGCTGTAAAGAACAGGTCCTCCAACTATTTATAACCGGCCACTGACAAGATAACAAGCGTGCGCCAAACTGTAACTCAATTATGCAATCAAGCACTTAAGACTTTCTAATGAAGAAAGTGGTTCAGAGATTCATATCCTGCCTGGCACACGCGCCGCACTTGTGGACAAGTAATAAACACTGAAATGACTCCTGCCCAGCGCCCACGGGCTGAGTAACAGTGCTCTAGGGCATCATTTAGGTTTTAGTTTAGGACAGGGAACAAACTGAGGGCAGAGCCCTGTAATCCAGTGCTCCTACCCTGCTCATTCTCATACTCAGCTCTTCGGAAAACTGCTGGGTTTCTTCCCTTTGGAAGACTGGGAAAAAAAATGAAATGTCATGAATTTCAACCTCACAGCTTTACTTGTATGTTTCCACAGGGCAAACGCAAAGGATGTAGTTGCTCTCCACATCGTGAAATGCAGGACTTTCACAAGGACTCCACTGGTCCAGGAAGGAATAAGGCAGTTATTTACCTGGGGGCGGTGGGGGGGCAATTCCAGGGGGCGGTGGCAGGGCAATGTTCACCACTGCGGGAGGACCGCTTGGGGGCAGGTTGAAGTAGTTGGCGGAGGCTTCTTCTTCTGCTGCAGGAGGAGGAGGAAGAGCTAGGGAGAAAACAGTCAACACTTAGAAGAAAAGACAATTGGCAGTACCATTTGTGCCACCTTTAAATCCTCACAGCAGTGATGGTGGACCCGTTAAGAGCTTTCGTTGACTAAGAAACAGCCTGCTGTGGCATGTGCCCCACAGGCTCACCACCACGGCCTCAGCGGGCCTGCAGGGAGAACCCAGCTGCAGCAGGGGCCACACTTGGGTCTCTTCTAGCAGAACCATCAGGACAGACAGCTCCCGAGGCCAGCAGAAGTCTGTACTCACCTCCTGGCAGTCCTGGAACGGGCTCTAGCTTGATCCCAGAGTCTGTGGTTCCATCCTTCTCTTTTTCTTTTCCCCTAGCTGCCTGGGATCTAGGGGACACACAAGCACACGAGACATCCACGCTTTGTTCTACCTCAACTCACACCCTTCCTTGTCGTATTCCTCCACCAAATGGGGCTCCTTCACTCCCTGCCCTCTTGCCGGATTCAAAATTTGCGAGGACTATTATAAATACTAGAAGAGGCAACATTTATGTATGTAGCAGTGCTTAGCATGTCAGGAGGGCTTCATAAAGGGAGCTGAGGCTATTGGCCAGCTCCTACCCAGTTCCAAGCTCGAAAACATGTTCCCTCTTAAACTTAAAATCGAGGGCATTTTACCTGTGTGTCTCTTACGCAATGTATCTCTCTTAAGCAATCATCATTTTCAAACTTAAAAATAGACATTCTGTTTTATGTTCTCCCCCAGACAATCAGCCTCTGAGGACAGAATCTAGGTCTAGTTCCACTGTAAACCCTCAAATGCACCTTTCATATTCTGGCATTGTAACTGGCCTGTAATAGCTGGGTCAAAAAAACATGAATCTCTCTTCAGAGGGGTAGATTATTATAGCAAAACCCTGAATACATTTCCAAAATAGGCTTCTGAACATCCACAGGAATCAAATGTCAGAGAATGCTTTATAAAACAGCTTCCTAAACAGCCTGTTGAGTTAAGCCTGTTTACCAACAGCTCACTCATCTCTAGAAAATAAGTTTCTTAAAAAATCTTTTATGAAGATATTTTAAGACAGCCTTATTCTTACCTTCCCCATTTCACGTTTAGTCTGCGGCCATTGACAATCAACTTATTAAAGGACTTCTCAGCAGCCACTTCTGCAGCCTGCCTTGTGGCAAACTGGATGAAAGCACACTGTTGCCTCTGTACAACAGTGATTGTCCGGATCTCTCCAAACTGGTAGAAATGATTTCTGGAGGGACACGGGCAGACAAAGGTGGGTTTATAACACAGACATGCCCTGGAGACAGAAAATAGATGATGAACTTTTCCTCTAACTTTTATCTCTAAGGCAGATGGGCCCCCTGGCTATGTGCCGAACTATTTACAGCTCTTTCCCTCCATGTCTTGCCCTAATGTAGGTACCGCTGACAGGGAAGTGGAAAGAATAAAGATACATCTCAGGTGTTTTCCCATGGCAGGAAGGGGCTCTAATAGGTTCCTTAAGGACACTGAGCCCTAAATATGGCCATGGCAAACTAGTTCTTATGACCCATGAGCCAAGAATGCTTAAAAATATTTCAGCTTGAAAGAAAAAATTTCAAAGAGATGTGGAAAGGAATAAAATATTTAATCTTTGGAGGACTCCCAGGGATTGCCTAGCTTACTTAGGCATCATTTAATGGAGACAGTCTACCAAAGGCAGATTATAAACTTATGGGGGGTTTCTTTCGACTTTCTCTTCGGAAGAGGCAATTTTCATGACTATCTGCCCAGATGTTTCTTCTAGCCAAGCATAATCCAAGCCAAAAATAATATAAACATCAAATATCAGTCTCTTTTTAAAAAGCCAACAATTTACACCTAAGCGTTTTGAAATCACAAAGCTCTCCCTCCTCTACATAATTAACCACACTTGGATGTAGGCCAGCCTTCAAAAAGTCTAATCGGCCATTAGGTACCACGTAATTATTACCATATGCAAAGATGCGTAAGCATGCTTGATTAACAGTACTATTCTGGCATTAGGACAATTCTGTGAACATTTGAGTTAGCAGGATAATAACTACAGAGCAACTGAAGAAAAATGTACTTTATATGGAAATACCATGCTTGCCTTTAGTTTTGCAAAGAAAGTATTCCAAGGCAGTTGAAAGCAAAAAGAGCTCTTAAAATTATACCCACACACCTGAGATCTGTCTCAGTAATGGTATCCCCCAGACCACCGACATAGAGCGTGGTGATAGTCTTATCCTCTGGGGGGTCTAGACGAGGCATCGTTGAAGCCCGCTTTAGAAGCTTATCTGCTACAGGGTCATTGATTCCATAATACCGGTCTTTAATATTCTGATCAGCAAGGGGGTCATCTGGGTCAGTGGGCTTCTCATGTCTGTAAAGAAATAACAATGCACCAAGATGAAACAAAGGGGAAAAATGTTATCAACAACAGTAGCTACAGAGGAAATCCCAAATACATATCCTGAAATGTTCTTTGAACGAGAAACCATGCCAGACCATAATTATCAAAAACAGAGCTAATACTAAGGGACTGACTGTATCACAGAATTCCCTGCTGCCCCAAGTCTATTTAAACAGCTATTAATAGGCTGCAACTTGACTAATAAAGAAATACTTCCTGTATGATCCAGCCCTAACAAAAGGTTACCCCTCTCTGAGTCAATGGCTCTTTGCTTTTTTTTCTCCCCTTGAGACAGGGTCTCACTATGTAGTTTAGGCTGGCCTTGAATTCACTATGTAGCCCAGGCTGGCCTTGAACTTGTGGTGATCCTCCTACCTCAGTCTCTTGAGTAATAGGATTACATGTTGTTATTGAATGTAACTGAAATCTTACATTACACTGAGAATCTGACTAAAGCTCTAGATATACCCCCACTCCCCAAAGGGCATATACTATTTTTTTGTCAGGTGGGGTTACCAAAACCAAGTTAAGAACTTCAAATTCAGATGTCTGGCAGTCTGGACTGAAACATACAATTTTTAGAAGCCTGGTTTTAGAGCTGGGCATGGTGGCACACGCTTGTAATCCCAGCACTCAGGAGGCTGAAGCAGGAGGATCTCTGTGAGTTCAAAGCCAGCCTGGGTTACCCACTGAGTTCAAGGTCAGCCTGGGCTACATAGCGAGACCCTGTCTCAAAAAAAAAAAAACACTCCTCCCACCCCACCAAAAGTCTGGTCTTACTTTGACTTCAACTAAATGTTGAGATTCAGGCTATATGTAAGATAGTGAGAACTAACTTTTCAGGCAGAAACTTTTAGGATCAGCAACCTAATTACCTGGCATGGCAACTTAGTTTCCTATGATGCAGTCACAAGTAAAAACTTCAATTTAATCAAACTTATAAACTTAATTGTCCTATGACATGAAACAGTATACTAATTGCATAAGCCTTGGATTTTAAGTCACAAATAGTTTAAGCTAACATGTTCCATTTTTTTGGATGACTAATACTATTTGGAAGCAAACACTGAAACTGTGGCCCAGCTCTTGCCTGTATGGACACTCCTCTCCTCTCTTACACTCTCCTTTCACCCAGAAGGAGCAAATGTGGGGTCGATTCCTTTTGTAGTAGGGAGTGGTTCGGGCCAGTTTAAGCAGCATGTCACTGGTGGATGTGGCTTTTCCCAGCATGCCAACTGGCCGTGTTCCATCAGAGTTAGAAATCTACACAGGATGACAAATTTATAGTCAGTTCATCAGATACATAACTACGTAAGACCTAGGTTTAATCCCCAGCACCTTAAGCATAACACAAAACAAGGCAAAACCAACTGGCAGCATACTTCTCTCTCCATATTCTGTGTGTAGTACTCTTTATTGACATCTGATTTTGGCATGTCATCTTTAAAAGACAGTCCCGCATCACGAACCTGGATGGGCAGGCCTAGTGCAAAAAAAAAAAAAAAAAAGGAGGGAAAACTCAGATGTTCACATGCAAAGACACATCCAGATCAGATCCACACACAAGAGTACAACAGCACCCTTCTTTTCTCTTTCCTACTTGTTACCAAAGAATTTATTACATCTTTATCCAAACTCTCCAGTGCTATCAGACCAAGACTGCTACATAGCACTCTAAGAAATTATCCAACCTGAGCTATTGTGAAAGTCAGATTTGACCTGTGAATTAATAATGTATCTAGCTTTAACCATAACACAACTTATTTAAAATAAATATAAAAGTAGTTTCTAGCCTGCTCCTAGAGATCCTGTGGCTAGTCAGTCACATAAAGACCACTGTACTTTAGGACCAGAATTCTCCTTAACAAACATATAAATAATAATAATCTGATAAGTACAGTAACTTTCTAAACTTAACATATATACACTCTTTTTCCTTTAATTTTACTATATAGAAATTTCTCGTTGGTAAATTGCTTTTCTCAAAAAAATCTGTAATATATTTTGGTCCTAACAAAACAGCTGAAGGTGAGAGTGGTAGCACACGCCTGAAATCCCAGCACCTGAGAGGCTGAGGCAGGACTGCTCTGAGTTTTAGGCCAACCTTGGCTCTACAAGATCCAAACCAGCCTAAACTATATAGTGACACCCTGTCTCAAAAAACCCAAACCAAAACAAAAAAACAACACAGTTGAGACAAAAGTCCAAGGCGTGCCAGGCGCGGTGGCACACACCCGTAATCCCATCACTCGGGAGGCTGAGGCAAGAGCACTGCTGTGAGTTTGAGGCCAGTGTGGGCTGTAAGGAAAGACCTTGTCTTAACTACCCCTTAATCCAATGCATAAGCAGCCTATGACTTTCTGGTCGAGATTGTGGAGGGAAAAGCTTTGGATCCAGAATCAAGGCAAAGAAATGATCTATCACAGGATCAATGTTTTTTTTTGTTTGTTTGTTTTTTTAACCTCACCTTGGCTACAGAGGAAGAGGCTAATTTTTTTTTTTTTTTTTGAGACAGGGTCTCACTATGTAGTTCAGACTGACTTGGAACTCACTATGTAGCCCAGGCTGGTCTTGAAGTCACAGTGATCCTCCTGCCTCAGCCTCCCGAGTGCTGGGATTACAGGCATGAGCCACCACGCCCGGCCTCTGGAAGAGGCTAATTCTGATGACTTCCCAACTGTTCCTTAAATCCCTACTATTGTTCAAGAGGCCTTTAGAGTGGCCTAATTATGACTCTCTTCCTGATAGATATTCCACAGTGGAAACAGAACCAGAGATTGCATGAGAAGTGGACAATAAAAGATCAGGCACTCGGACACTTTCAGATCTATTAGACATGTACACATACCATACTCTAGGTCTAAGAGGCAGGTCTGACAGACATTCTTCAGTTTACTGCAGGTCTGGCACACTTCAGTCTTCTTGAAGCGCATGCGGACCCCAGGACACCACCGGAATACTGTGAATGGCCTGGCACAGATCTGAACACAAGACAAATGCCACAGAGTGTTAATGGTCCCGACTTGGGCGATTAAACCAGGTCAGCTAATAACAACAGGGTATTTAAGAAATGATCCCTGAATCTAGGCTTTGAAAGCGACTTTAGGAATCACCTAGTCTAAATGCAATCTGATGTTTCAACACAGTAACTGGAAAACCTGCATAGTACAAAAGTGAAAATATTTAAAAAGTCAGTTTCTCCAACCTACAGGTAAGCACCTCTAATCAGATCCTTAATCTTTTGAGGTGGGGGAGAGGGGAATATCAAGTAAACCTTTGAGACTCTCATGACAGCTCTGACCTTTCTCCTCAGCTAAAATGCTCACATGCATAATTATACATCACTTTGTATACAAACTAATCTTCACTGTCAATTCATGGACACTAAATTAAGAAGTTCTACACTAAGGGGTCATTTTCTTATTTCCTATGATAAATACTAGTCAACAAATACATCAATAATATGTGAAACCTGTACAGCACTTTATTGAGGCTCTCAAAGCTTAGTAAGTGGAAGGCTCATTTGGTAGAAAAAGGAGCAGGGGAGTAATCATTACTTTTTCATAGACATACTTACTTTGCATTCTTTCCCGTACTTTTCTTTGGTCTGAAGTAGAAAAAAATACAAAAGAACTACAATTACACAAAGACAAAGACCCAGATGTTTATGCTTTGTGCTTTCCCTAAATACAACTCAAAAAATGTGTCTGGGAATCCTTGGCATCCTAATTAGGAAAAACAAAACATAACAAAAATAAACTTTTTTAGCGGGGAGGTAAGGCTAGGGGATACATTCTTTTTATAAATTTTCTTTGTAGTACATGTTTGCAATATATAGTGAGAATACATTCATCATGGGAAGGTACTTTACACACACACACACACACACACACACGGCACATCTTGATCTTTATTTCTAGGAGATATAGTCTAACAGCATATTATAAGTTTCAGTCTTTCAAGATTCTATGGACCTATTACCAGGTAAGTGTCTTTCCATAGCCACAGGTCTTTAGCTTCACTGTTCACTCCAAGAACTAAAATTCCCAATGGTTTCCACAATCCCCAAATCAAGGAGGATGCAGCCAAGGTCAGTCCTTTTACAAAGTTCACCCAGAAGGTAACCACTCTAGACTCATTCTGTGCTCATATCCTGTATCTAGCAAGCATTCTGTTTCTGTAAACTGTTCAATCATCTTGAACATAATAGCATATCAACACCTCTGAGACTGATTACAATAGAGCCCTAACTGTCAACTGTTACTATTTGACCCTTATTATTGACAGCCAAATTAGACAGAAATTAATATGCAGTTAGAGAGGGATTGGGCCCTTGAGGAAGTCAGAACAAAAGATGAAGACATCAAATTGTGGCTGGAGGCAAACCTAAAGAGAGTCAGGCCTTAGGATGTAGACACAATAGCCAGGCCTGCAAGCTTCCCTAGAGGTAAATTGCAACTTGGAGATTATACTGTAATTAGCACCACCTTGTCCACTGAGCCCAGAAAGGAATCAGATACACAGATGACAGACCAGAACATCATCCCTAAGAATGCCTTTGTTCTTTCCATATATCTTTGCTATGTGACTTTCCCCTGTCAGATCAATGTTAGCTAAGTGACTACACTTGTAATCTTATAGGTTGATCGCAGTTTGACACACATTATGATTTGCTGTATAAATTACCCCTGACCAAAAGCCTCTGTAGTCCCACTTGGAACCTCTCTCGGAAATCCAGGAGCTATTCTTTTTCTTACTTCCAATAAAACTCTCTAAACGTTCTCCTTTGGTTTGCAATTTCATTCCTCGATGCTGTGAGACCACAAATTAGGTACATCTGACATCTATCTAACAGGCTGGGAGTTATTTTCCCCTCATACCTTTATAAGGATAAGATGCACCTTATATTAAAGAGACTATAATGTGCAGTGGCCAAAAGGACTATGACTAGGAGTCTGGAACCAGTCCAATTCTGGTTTTCTTCATCTGCTGAGGTCCCTGGAGTCAGAATATCTGAATTTAAATCCCAGCTTCACTGGTTTTTAGAGATAAAACAAAACAAAATAAAACCACTCTCTCTGGTCAACAGATCTACGTCCCAAGTAAACTTAACAAATGTTAGCTGTTAGGATTCTTATAATATGGGATTATCTCTGAATTTCTAAAGCGAGAGTATGCATGACAGTCCTTGGCAAATCGTCCTGTTTGGGTAAGAGCAAAGTTTTTTCTGATAGCCAGGAGACACACTTATCAGCGTGTGCAAGCACCACAATATTGACAGATAATCATTCCTTACATGTGATCACTCACCATTCGGATATATGGGTTTTCTCCAAGACACGTCTGGCACAGAATCGGGAAGTCCTGGTGCAAATGGGAAATCTAGTTGAGGATCAAGTTCCCAAGACCCAGCCAACCCAGTCATACTCGTGGGGGCGGAGGGAGGGGGCGGAGAGCGCGAGTGGGAAGCAAGGCAGGGCAGGGATCCGAGGTCCTGCTGTGGCCAGGTCGCGGGAGGAGGCGCTGTCTGCACTTCCGGAATGCGGGGGTAGAAAAGAAAACCAGCTGGAAGAGGTTGGTGGGGACGGGGATGGGCAACAGGCTGGTCCCCCAGATCCTGGCTAAGCTCCCTCTCTCGAAGCCGCAGGAAGGCCGCATTCCACCCTCCTGCTCCCGCCAAGGTAGGCCGCAGCGCTAGCTTCACCCAGGAGTTCCCTCGGCCATGCCACAGCCCCAGGCCTGCCCGCTCGCACGAGGCCCGACTTCCCCGCTCTCTGCCGTCCTCCTCCGGTGGGCACACTCACCGCATCCTCCCAGTTCTGCCTGTTGTAGGTGTTGGAACCCAGAGAGGTGGCCATTTTGAGAGCGTCGGGGGGCAGCGGTAGCTTCGGAGCTGGGCGAGAGGACCGCCACAATCCCGTCAGCCCCCGGGACGGCGCCCGGCAGGTCAATGACGTCTTATTTTCGCGTCAAGAAACCTACCCCGGGCGGGGCCTTGCGAGACACTACTTCGCCTGCTTTTGGAACGTCTTCGGACGATCCTGGGGTTCTGGCTTGCTGCCATTTGGCGTTTCTTTGGGGCTTTTGTCTACTGAGGATGAAAAGCAACAGTATAGATGATTTATTGAAAGTTGGGCGAAAGAATAAAGGAACAAGTAATGAATGAGGAACTGGGGCTAAACCAGCGTTAGCTCTACCAAGCGCTTATTATACCAAACGCTGGGCGACGTTTTGCGGTGCCAGCCTCATTTAATTCTCACAGAAACCTCTCTGTAAAGTTGCCAGGGTTAGCAAAAACACAGAACGTCTACTCGAGGTGTATTCCAGAAAACATCATTTTTTTCTGTATAAATGTGTACGGGACATATTTTAAAGTAGGATTCGGTGCCGGGCGTGGTAGTGCACGCCTGTAATCCCAGTACTCCGGGTGACTGAGAAAGGGAGGTCCCACGTTTGAGCCTAGCCTAGGCAACTCAGGCATTCAGCAAGATCTTGTTTTAGAATAGAAACAGAGCTAGAGAGCTGGCCAGACATGGTCGCATAGGCCCGTAATCCCAGCCCTTGAGACGCTGAGCTAGGATTACGAGTTTGAGGCCAGCCAGAGCTACGTAGCAAGTTTAAGGCCAGCCTGGACTACGTAGAGTCTGAAAAGACAGAACAACAAAAAGATGCGTTTATCTAAAATTCACATTTAACTAGGCATTCTGGATTTTATCTCGTGAGATAGGGTTTTGTTTGTTTTGTGTGTAGTTTTTTGAGACAGGGTCTCGCCATGCAGCCCAGGCTGGCCCTGAACTCACTATGTAGCCCAGGTTGGCCTCTCACTCAAAGCAGTCTTCCCCCCTCAGCTTCCGGAGTGCTGGTATTACAGGCATGTGCCACCATACCCGGCTTTATCTCATAATTCTACTTACTGTACATGCAAGTACACTGATCCCTTTTTTATAGAAGAGGAAACAGATTTAGATGAAATAATTACTCGGTTGTGCAGCTAAAAAATGGTGACAAATCCCTCCATGACACGGGAGGGCACATTGGACATTAATACTGTTTTTCCAACTTCTGACAAAAGTCTTAAGGGTCAACATACATTTTTGTTTCATTGTGGAACAAATTATAACAATTCTGCCAATATTTTATGAAATTCAAGCCTTTCTAGTACAACTTTTATTTTTGATAGGTCATCAGACTCCCTAATAGGTTATTTAAATCCTCACTTTTAAAAAATTTTTAAAGAATTTACATAGTAAAATTTACCACTCGTAGTTATGAATTTTTGCATAAATTCACCACAAATATAGCGTATGTAGGATCAGTAATTCTAAAAAAGTTCCCTTGAGCCTGGGGCCTGAAACAGTAGGTCTCCAATAGATCTAAGAACATTTATGATTTTTGTCTTCTGACCACCTTTTTTGTTTTACAGATACCCATATTGTAGGAAGAATTGTGGAGTCAACCTCTTTTACTTTGTACCTAGCTACATTCCAGACCTTAAAAATTTTTTTCTTTTAATTATTTTGAGAGGGTTTCCCTCAGTCACTAAATTGCCCAGGCTTGGCTAGAATTTGCAGTCCTCTTGCCTTGGCCTCCCAGAGTGCTGGGATTAGGTGTAAATGAGTCACAGCCTGGCTCATGTGACTTAGGAGAGTTTTTATCAGTTCTGCAAGTAGAAAGTATCACATGCATACTTGAGGCCTTAACAACAAGTACAATGAAAATAAAACATTGTTATTTAGCAAGTGCTACTGTTAACTTATAAAAGCCTTAGAGCTAGAAGTGTATGTTGAGGGTGAGGCTAGTGTCTTACTTACTTTCTCCTTGCTGGGACTAAATACTCAATACCCACAAATTAAAGGAAGAGAGGCTTAACTCAGTGTGTAGAAGTTTCAGTCCATAGTCAGCTGGCTCCAAGGCAGGGTGGCACGGCAGAGGGGCATTGCAGAGAAATGGTCCATGGCGTGGCAGGCAGGAAGCAGTGAGCCTTCCTCCTTCCTTTCCTTTTTATTCCATCCGGGCCTATTGTTAGAGCCACCTACCCCCAAGGTGAGACTTCTCTCTTCAGTAAATCTATCATTCACACCCAGAACTCTGCTAAACCAACTAATGAACTAATCCAGTATTGTACCTATGATCCCCTCACTCCCAAAGCCCCACCGACAAGCTCATGAAGCTCGTCATTTACAAATAAGCCATAACAGTTGGGGTAGTTTAGTGGTAGAGCACTTTCCTAGCAAGTGTGAGGGCCTGAGTTCAATGCCAGTACTGAGGGAAAAAAACAAGAAACAAACAACTCTCTGAGTATTTATTCTAGATTACTTAATGTTACTTTAATACTTAAGACTGTTACTTTGTGTAGGTAATGCACACTGTGAAACATACTACTCTATATTGTTAATGTCCCTGACCACTAGAAGATGAAGCAAGGGTGCATACCTTACTTAAGGACTAGGATATCTTTTGAGAAATGCATCATTAAGCACTTTTGTCACTGGGCAAATGTCATAGAGTGTGCCTACACAAACGAATATGGCTACAACTTCATTAGGTGATATAACCTTAGGGGACCCGTGTCATGGATTCAGTTCATTATTAACCAAAATTGTCATATGTGGTGCATTCCTGGCTTGCAATTCAGCCAGCAATTTAGGTCTGTGTTTTGGAGTTTGCTCTAGGTTCATCTTTGAAGGCAGTGTAGGAGGAGCAGATGTTAAAGGGACCTAGATGTAGTTCTCAGGGAGTTTGCCCATAGTAAAGGAGCTAGCCACCTACAGAAACCCACCATGCAAGGAGGGATTCCTGCCTTGCAGAGGTGCAGTGTTGTGGATACTACATTTAGATAGAAGCAGAGAAGTAATCTTGGTGGTGCAAAAAGAGGGAGAGGTATTCTAGGTGAGAAAACACCAGAACGAGAAAGCACAAATCAGGAAGAAAATATTTCTAATGAAAAGAGGCAAAGTATATTGTTTATAAAAAAACTGATAAAAAATCAGTAGCCACTAAAAAGAAATGAGCTATCAAGCCAGGAAAAGACACGGAGTAGCCTTTGGTGTATATCACTAAGAGAAAAAAGCCAGTCTGAGAAGGGTACATACTGTGTGACTCCAACTATGACATTCTAGAAAGGGTAAAACTATGGCAACAATAAAAAGAGTAGTCAACATCAGGGGTTGGGGTATGGGAGAGATAATCACGCACAGAACAGGAAGTTATTGGGGCAGTAAAACTACTCAGTATGATACTGTAATAGTGAATACAATATATCTTTGTCCAAACCCATAGAAGTGCAACCTAAGTGAACTTAAAAGTAAAAGATGGGCTCTGGGCTCCAGTGTCAGCAATGATGACATGAGCTGCATCTAATGGTGCCATATGTAGCAGATGTAGACAGAAGGTAGGCTGTGCATATGTGGAGGCAAGAGGTATATGGGAAGTCTCTGTACCTTCCACTCAGTTTTGCTGTGACCCTAAAATTGCTCTAAAAAATGCCTTGAATATATCAACACAGACACGGGAAAAGAATGCTGATTTATTCAATAAAAATATGGTGCCTACTACTTGCCAGGCGTTGTTCTAGGTTTTGGAGATACAGTAATTAAAGACAAAAAAAATCCCTGCCTTAATGGATCTTACGTTCTAGCATTATGAATCAGATAATAAACAAGTGTGTCTTGTGTGTTGGACGGTGACCAGTGAGCACGATGGAGCAGAGTGAAGCAAAGGGGACGGACGGGGAGTATGCTTAGGGGAAGGCAGCTGACCTAGAGTAGGGGGTCAGCGACAATCATGTGAAAGCAATGTTGGAGCAAAGAGCTGCGTGTGGCGAGAGTGTCAGCTGTGCATAATCTCTGGGAGAACTTTCAAGACGGAGGGCACAGCCAGTATCAACACCCTGAGGAGCTTTCCTGGGTGACTCAGGACTGGCAGGGAGGCCAGCATGGCAGGATGGTGGAAGCCTGAGAGGGAGTAGTGGATAGATTTGGGGGTAGTCTCAGGTCACACAGGGCCTTACGTGCCTTTTTTTTTTTTGAGACAGGGTCTTGCTATGTAGGTCAGGCTGGTCTTGAACTCACTATGCAGTCCAGGCTGGCCTCCAACTCATGATGATCCTCCTAAGTGACAGGATTACAGGTGTGTGCCACCATGTCCAGCTTCTTACATGCTATTGGAACTACTTCTCCCCTTCCTTTTTTTTTCCTGGTAACTGGATTAAACTCAGGATCTGTACTTGCATACCTCCTTCTTTTTAACCTATTCTTCAGTATGCTAAGAAGCCTTTCAAGGGTTTAGCAGAAAAATGACTTAATCACTCTGCCAACTGCACTTAAAATTTACTGTGGTGGTGGGCTGGAAAGCGACCAGTGAGGCTTCACGATCTGTTGTACGCCCCTGGGATGACAATCCAGGGGTGTGTACAGATGACTGACTTGGCTGGGACAGTTGCATTGGAAATGGTCAGTTTGAAGGCAGAGTTGACATGATTTACTGACTTACCACTGGATATAGCAGTAGAGGAACTAAAGTTTTGCTATGGGCAGCTGAAAGGATATAGTTGCCACTTAATTACCTACCACTACAGGAAAAACAGATGAGAGAAAACCTAGACTGCCGTTTTGGATTTCTACAGAAGGTATTTGTATATGGGAGATGGCTTGAAAACTGGGCAAGAACACCAAGTAAGTGTAGAGAGAAAAGCGTAAGAAGTGAGATGTATGAACACTGCAAGGCTGGGAAGACGAGGACTAGAAAATGACACTGAAGATTCCCATGAGGTAGAGGGAAGCCTGTCATGTTGTGTTCTGGAAACAAGGCAGTCTTTCCAAATAGGAGAGGTGAACTCTCAGATGCTACTGACAAATTTCACAGATAAGAATGAGAACGTATTTCAGTGTGGAGACAACAGGTCGTGACAAGGGCAGTTGTGAGCAGTGGTGGGGGTGACGGCCTAACTGGAACGAGCCGAGCACTGTGAGATCTGAGGGGCTGAATCCTAACATGGTCATGAAGTGACACAGGCGAGTAAGGGAACTGCTGACGTGATGTCGAGTAAGGACATGGATGGGCTGGAGGGTTTGTTAAGAGGTGGGGCTGCCTTCGGGCAGGAGCAGACACAGCTCACACGGCAGCAGGAGGGAAGGGGCAGGTGTGTGCGTACAGAGGATGGTAGATGAACGGCTGCCTCGGTGTGGGCCACTCTGTACACGTGAGTCTTTGGCTGTCACGACCCAGGCTGGTAGACATCTAACTTTTATGTCATGGTTCTGAAGACATGGGATAAGGGACTCAAGCAGTACCCTGCTACAGTGAACTACCCTGCCCATCAAGTTTTACCTTAGTTCATGTAAAGACGTGGAAGAAAGGAGCCTGCCAGTCCGTGTGTGTGGACTGCACCGTGCTTCCTTCCAACCACTGTTCATGAAAGAAACCAAAGACACATTCAAGCTTTGTCTGCTTTATTTCACTACATTAAATTAAGCAACCTGTCATTCAGAAAGGTTAAGGAGTGCCTCTCCTTCCCAAAAGGGACCAAAAAGGATGTGTCTTTACAAATACGCATGACATTTAGCTCAGTATGCCTATCGTAGGTACTGTGAATAAAAGAAAACTTTTTTTTTTTCCTTTTGTTTTGGTACCGGGGATCAAACTCGGGCCCTTGTGCTTGCGAGGCAGGCAGTGGAACCACTGAGCTAAATCCTCGGCCCCACCTAAAGAAAACTTAGGTGAGTAAATCAAATCACAAATCCAAATTAACTTAGGCTCATGTTTTCAAAAGTGGAGTTTCAAGTGCTAATGACATCTAACTCTCCTGTGCCGGTGCACACAGACTAGTGTTATAAACCTTGTACCTATTCTAATATAAAAAAGGCAACAGATGAAATTCCTAATTCACCAGCTGCGGGTGTAGTACCACTTTTATCACAGAGAATGAGGACATTGAAACCTATAGCTCTGTTATTCTGCATGTTAACTTGGCTTCTGAAGAAAAAAACGGATAAAACGTTTTTGGTTTTGGTATCACATGGGAGTGATGAGATCCATTACTTCAGACACCAGCTTCATGCCATACAGGCCCGACGTAACTGTAGTCCATGCAAACGTGTAAACGGATGAGGCTGTCCTGCCCTCTACTCTGACGCCCACCTCTTCCACCGGCCGGTATGGAGCAGTGCATTCACAGCAGGCTCTAGTGAAATGGAAACTGACACACTGGGGGGTGGGGACACAAAAAACTAAAATCTTTCTACAGTCTGCAAAGCTATTAATTACCCATCTCCCTGTCCCAACTCCCAAGAGGCTGAACTTCAATTATCACCATACATGATATTAGAGATGAATATTTTTTCTTTACTGCAGCATGTATTATTACTCTGTGGGAATATTGCTTCATAAAATTGGCTTGACCTTAAAAGTAAAATTTAGGGTCTTTCAAAAGTTTCCTAATAGCCTCATCTTTCAAGGGGAGCTACATGGATCATGTCCTACATGTATTCTAGATTACATGTCTTAGCATTTTTAAGCTAGACTTAAAAACAAAACCAGGATAAACAGGACATTTATCTTTTTCTCAAACGTCCATTGGCCACTTACTAAGAATACTTTTAAAGACATATGGTGTACAGCTGGTGGTCTACTTTGTCAGTTGTTTTAGAAAACATCACAAAAATTAAGGTTAGCAATTCAGCTCTAGTATCCAAGTACAAACAGTGGATGCGCTGTTAAGCCAGCATTCTTGGCTGCCTGTGGAACGATGTTGTGGTTTACAGTCAGAATGGTCTTATTTGATACACCACAGGACCCAAGTCTTAAGCTCTGTTAAGAGGAAAAGTCCGTTTTTTTAATACCCAGTTTGAGGTGCAAATTATAATTTCCCTTTCATATTAGCGGAAAGAACATTAGTTCAGATTATGCTGAAATTCTAACTTTAAAAATGTTTTCTGCATTCTAGAAATGAACTTGTCCCTCAGGCTTTCCTGAGCTATCTCCACCCCTTTTTATTTCATTGTGAGACAAGGTCTCACCACGCTGCCCAGGCTCGCCTCGAACTTCCACTCTTCCTGCCTCCGCCCACGTGGAGTACAGCCTGGGGAGTACAGCCCTGTGCCACTATGCCTGGCCTGACAGGACATGTAACTGCCTGCTTCTGAACTTTTTATTAAGAAAAAGTTCCATATTCTACTGGGAGAAAATTTAAGAGCAACTGATAAAGTGTCCTGTGTTGACTTAGAAGAGAGTAAATGAAGAATGCCTTAAGAATTTTACAGGTTTTCCCCATCATCACAAAACTAAAGACAATGCGACAGTTCCATTTTTTATGTGAAAGTCTGCGGCAAAGTGAGAGCCATGACGGCGAGGGAAGGGATATGCTTTAGACCGCTCAGCTATATTTCACGGAATGCAGAAAGCAGTCGGTTCACCGAGACCAGTGCTAGACAAGGAGCAGGCCAAGCTTTGGGTTACCATTTTAAGTCTTGTCTGTCAGACTGATCCTTGTGAGGAGACTAAGAGACGATATATGGTCAGTTTCTCTGAGGAGCAGCCATCCCTTTTACTGGGATGGAACTATGTCGTTACTCAACGTGCAGGTCAGAATGAGGGAGACACCGACTTACTGGTGCCAACAGGAGAGAGCAAGAGGAATAGCAGCTACCCATTCCCAATGCCTGGCTCTGCACCTGCTCTTAGGAAGAAGACTCAGTAGTGCGTGGGTACATCGTTATAAACACGGGCTAGGGAAGCAGCAGCTTCCACACTGTAACACGGGTGTGTGTGGTGACGTTGCTGGTGGGATCTGCCCACCAGGGAAAACTTTTAAGGAAGAAGCGGACCCAAGCTGAGTTCCACGTGCTGGGTGAGCCAGATGACTTCTGTGCCCTGGTCACTCTCTTCGATGGGGCGGATGGGAGCTGCCAGGTTTTTAAAATCATGCTTCATCTTGAAACAGGCGGTCACCTCACCCTCCTCGCGCTGTGGGGTGACTTTGATGAAAATGCCCACTTTGTTGGCCTTTCTAAAGGCTATGATGCTATGGAAGGAATAAGCAGAGATTAGCTAGGCCACAGGTTAGCCAGGCCACCGAAACTGACAGTCACATTGCACAAAAGTAAATTTCTATTAAGACATAACATCACATCCTGTTTATCGGTATAGAGTATCTCTGTATTTTCTAAATATTACAAAAGTAAATGTAGACAACAAATTCACCTGGGAAAAGGTAAATCCTTCCCCTTATTCTTGGTATCAGCATACACAGATAAACTGTAAACACTTTGGTTCTTAACCTGTCAGATACTTTTCTGTAAACTTACATTTTTCTGCATACTTAACACAAATGAGACGTATTCTGTAACTTGCTTTTTAAAAAATTCTGTTTATCACGAGCAACTTTCCACATTGGGATATATAAATCTACATTCTATGTAATGGCTGCACACTATTTATCATGAATTTACCACAACTGCTGTACACTGCAGTTGCTGCCTAGTTAATTATATATCATGTGGTATGAACATTCCCTTACATTTTTATCTTTGCGTATGAGTGGCAACTTTTTAAAGAGATCCTTTAGGGGTAGGCAGGGAATAATATAGAATAACAAAACTCCTGTCCTGGTGCTCTCTGAAGTTAAATGAAGTTCAGTAATCACTGTACTAATTTTACCTTTCCTTCATGTTATTTTTCCAAGCCACCCCATGTTATGTCTTCTCTCCAGTATCGTGTGGAGGTGGCTTTTTCACCCATTCTGTTAAAAACCTTAAATGTCCCCTGTGCTAGTTAATGAAGCTGTTGCATAGGATTCTGCTAAATCCATTTCTGCTCCAGAGGCTGGCTCCCTGCTAGGTTCTACCAACAGGAGGCTCTAAAGCTCTCCAGGGCGGTAGAAGCCTCACCCCTCCTCAGCTTCCCATTTGCTGTGGTGCTTGTGGGGATCACCCCAGCTCTTCTTCTTCACCCAGGAATGGAAGTACCCAGTTGGTTTTCCAATTCCTGTCTGACCAGCTTTATCATCCCGCCCTTCTGCCACCTGGAGATGCCAGCAGCACACATCTCCTCCCCGCTTTCCTACAAGTCTTGCATTTTGGCTCCTTGGGGCTCCTCCTTCAAGCTTCTGAATTTTAATAATTCTCTATTTATTTTTCATTAACTCATTTCAATAGTGCATATTTATGGGGGGCAGTGCAATAATTTAATACATGTATACAATATTAAAGATAAAGATCAAATCAGGGTAGTTGGAACTTCTACTGCAAACACTTTTACAATGTTTTGATTAACACATAAAAACATCCTCGGAGGTACAGGGTGGTATTTCGATACATTTCAATACACATTTCCATTGCTTAATGTTACTTTCTATTTGGAAGCTTCCAGTTTCGCTCTTCTGGTTGGAATTTTCATTTTGTTTTCTTACACAAAGTCTTGTTATGTAATTCAGGCTGGCCCTGAACTATTTAGTCCGGGTTGGCCTTAAACTCATGGCGATCCTCTAACCTCAGCTTCCCAAGTGCTGGGATGACAGGTGTGCACCACCATGCCCAGCTCTCTAGTTTGATTTGTAGTATTTCTAACTATTTCCTTTTGTTCTCACAGCCCTAGAGATGTTAGCTCCAGGAACTTCAGAGTTCTTTGTAACAATTAGTTACCGCATTAACTCCCCTCCCAGGGATTATTGATTATTATAGGTCTTGCTGTATAGCTCAGGCTGGCTTTGAACTTGCAGGTCCTCCTGTGTTTGGGTCACACACAGGAGTGTCTCACTGCATCAGGCAGCAATCCTCTATTATTAAACTCTTTCTGCTCAAAACATAGACATAATTTTAGACTATATCTTCACTGATGCATTCCTCACCAAGGGAAAAAATTTTTTGTTTTTTTGGGTGGTGATGATTCTGGGGATAGAACTCAGGGTAATTCTACCACTGAGCTACATCCTTAGTTCTTATTTTTTTTGTTTTAAATTTTGAGTCAGAGTCTCACTGTTTGTGAGTCTGGTCTCAAATCTGCGATTTTTCTGCTTCAGACTCTGCAATAGCTGGGATTACTGATATTGATCACTGCACTAAGCTCAAAATGTTTATTTTGTTATTTCTCAGTTACTAAGTAAGATGGAGTATTATTTATTAATGTTACTATTAATTACTATTAATTACTTTAACGGGGTAGAAACAAACCCAATGATAAATATATAGGGACAGAATGCTGTATCCTGTCCACAATCATAAAAATCATACACTTGAAGCCAGGTATGGTGGCACAGACCTGAAAACCTAGCATGCAGGAGGCTGAGGCAGGAGAACTGCTTTGAGTTCGAGGCCAGCTTAGGCTACATAGTGAGTTCAAGGCCAGCCTGAACTACATAGCAAAAAAACCAAACCAAACCAAACCAAATAAATCATGCACTTTAAATGTTTTGTTAACATGTGAGAATAAATATTTAAGTGAAAAACAAAGGCTAAAAAACTGTTCACAGAATATTCTCAGGGATGGAAAAAGTATCCAGAAAGACAAATACCAAAATGGTAACAGTGTTCATCTCTGAGAGTGGGATAGTTTTACTAGATATATACCCCAAATTTTATATATTAATTATTTTTATAAGAAAAAAGTATTATATTTAACGATCCAGAAAAGAAAAGGAGATATACATGTGAGCATCCTGTATTAGACAAGTGTTTTTGATGGTCACAAAAAAACTCACTCAGGATCGTCCTGGAAGTCCTGGGGCTCTGCCAACTCATCGTACTCTGCTGCTGCATCCTTGCCAGCTAACACAAGCTCTTTGGGAGGCACTGCCACCTGGGGAGCGACAGAGCCTGCTTCAGCAGACAGGTGTGCTACAGGGTATTCATTCACTCAACACCACATGGCCAAGTACTTAAGTGGCAACTTTCAAGACATACACAACATTATACTACTTACATACGGAGGTTACAAACATCGCCCAGGGATACAGACATTCCTAAGAAAAATACAGAGTGAAGAAGCTTTTGGGAATGATAAGAGTCAAGCACTTGCTTCATGGGACTGCAAAGGAGAAGTCAAGCAGGGAGAATGCAAGGTACTTCACTTGTATCTCTAACACATCATTTAAAATTCTTTTTTGTATTTATTTATTTTATAGTTTATTTTGATGTTTTATTTCTTAAGGGGATGAGGAATACATGAATGTTTGCTGTTTTTAAAATCTTTTTTTTGAAAAATTTCACCATTTAAAAAAAAAAAAAACACTAAAGAGAAACATTAGTTCCAATGCAGGGAAAACTGGGTATATTTATGGTCATGGAAAAGAATTATGTATTCTTTAGACTTACATTTTATGCTGCCTCAAATTTGCTCAGACCGTATTTCTAATTATGCACACAAATATAGAAGGGCTGGTATAAAGAGAGAAAGACTGCAAGTTTTCACGCTGGGTATATACACCAAGCGATCATTTCTATCTCCTAACGGAAGCTGTCTATTAATGTTATTTTTAAAAAGGAGCAAGGCAGATAAATGCTATCTTTTCTTAGAGGTGATGCTAGGTAAGTGAAATAAATCATTAAGGAGTTAAAAGAAAAAAAGAGATAAAGACATTCCATAATAAGATTAACTGAATAACAGCTAAAGACACAGGCATCCTTTCTACCTTTCTTATACTTAGTTATAAGTATCATGCTGAATTATGGGTTAGTAGTATAGGATCTAAAGGTCTAAAGTACTAAATTTCTAGTACTAGAGGAATCACTCAATACCAAAATACAGAGAGGCCATATTTCATTTATTCAACTAACGTGGAGGTAAAAATCATGATTTTAGTATGTGTTACACACTTTCTGTGGGGAGATGGAATCTAGAAAAGACATACTTGTACCCGCCTTCAGAAGGAGGTGGTACTTCACAGGAGTCCTGACAGACGAAAGGGCACGCATACATGCTTGAGAAACAAGGACCTGCAGCAGGAGGCATTCTAGGCACAACACATAGAATATACACTTTGCCAGCATGCAAAGTTCTATGGATCTGCTTGGATCACAACCACTAATATGGACAATCTAGAGAATGCTAAACTGGCAAATCTGACGAAGGTCATGCTGGAAAAACAGAAGTCCTTTGTATGCTATCCCAAAGAATTTGGACTTCATGTTAAAGTCAGTGAGATACTAACTGATCAGCACGCTGTACAGTTAAGATTTTAGAAAAACCACCCTGGTGGCAAAATAGAGATGGACTGCAATGGAGGTGGGTATGCTAAAAAACAGGGAGGTCAGGTAGGAAGTTACTGTGACAGAACAGGTAAGAAATGACGAGACTTTGAAACAGAGTAGTGCCAATGTATCTGGGGATTAAGTTAAAACTTTGGGAAGTAGAAGCAGAAGAACTTGCTGAGTGGAGGTGGTAAGTGAGGGAGGATGTGGAGTCTTTTTTAAAGCTGGGTCAAATGAAGCCACTGTGGGCACAGGCAGAGCAGTCAGGACGAGACAAAATGCCCCTACCTTAGCAGTGCTGTTCGTATTATCAGGGTCCCCCTCCTCACACTCCAACAGAGTCACATGTGTGAGGTTTTCCACTGGATTTGTAAGAGTCAGGAGGACCTGGCTCTCCTGGGAAGAAGAAAAGCATCTCTCAGACATTGCCATGCTGTCATTGTGGTCCACTTTCTTAGCTGCTATACCAAATATTTTACAAAATTATCTCCCATCACTCCTGAGCAGACACCTACACATGGCTGCACTCTGAGTGCTCACTGATCTCTATTCTACTATCTGTATGTTAGGCTGTGTACTCTCTGGAGTTGCTATTTCACTGAGGAAATGAGATGGATCCCACAGAAAGAGCCAGGTACTAGATCCAATAATTCTGAGGAATACATTTCATCTAAGTGACTTTCCTAGTCAGGTTGTTACTTAAGGACTGAAGAGAAGGAAGCCCCATAAGTAAAACACAGGAATCAAATATATCAACACAGGAAATAACAACATACCCAGGCTTACAAAAAACCCTTTACGACTTCTTGAGTCATGCATGATAACTTGCTCTTATTTGGTACTTTCTTGAGGCTGGCAACATACTCCTTCAAATGAACAGGGACTATATAAATGGTCTCATGAGCAACAGGAAAGGAAGAGCTGAAGAGGCTGCTACAGAGCATTCTATAATTCACTGGGGAAGGTGTAGGAAGAGGTGTGAATAAGGACTCTGTGGTAAAGAAGAAATCTAGCTGACTTACGGCCACACATGCACGAACACACGAGGCCATGGAGACTCTGCGGGCTGAGGACAAGGGAAAGATGCCTGCAGGGGCCCATGTCATTATCGTTCCTTTCCCCACGTAAGGTTCCACCTTTACAGCATGTGCACCCTGCTCCTTCCACATAAATGTCAAAGGTGTTAATGTCAAGAATCCAAGTTTGAGAAACTTCAAGTCAATCCTTTTTTATTCCTTTTTCCTATACCTTGCTCACCGCAATCCATGCCAAATATACCCATACACATACATGCACACCTCCTTGGTCAGTCAGTTGTTAGTAAGCAAGGTACTAACCTTCATGTAGCGAAGGTTGGGAATCGACATGATTCTCACTTCTGGAATATAATTGCTACCAAGGAATAAAAAAATCCATTAATGGTCACTGGAGTTTTTGGAAATTATTATTTTCTCTTTAAGCTAGTGCAACAAATAAATTCATGTTAATTAGAATATGTAATAGAAGAAGAAATTTAAAGAATCGTATTACCATAGTAAGAGACTAGGTATAAAATCAAACCAGTTATGACATTTTTTTTGGTACTGGGGATTGAACTCAGGCCCTTGTGCTTGTAAGACAGGCGCCAGAACCACTGAGCTAAATCCCCGGCCCTACCAAACCAGTTATGACTTCTATCTGAAATGTCAGGATTATAGCCCATACATGCAGAGCTAGTTTAGAGCCTATAGGGGGTGTGTGTGTGTGTGCGTGTGTGTGTGTGTGTGTGTGTGTGTGTGTGTGTGATGAGATATTTTCTGTAGTACTAGATTTTGGAGATTTACTAAATATATTTTGGGGATCTTATTTAATAATTCATTTTTATAATTCTAGAAGGTAACTGATCCAACTCTCATTTAATAATATATCATAGGGCTGTAAAAACATATTCTTACCACATGCCTAGCAATGTTCTAGGTACCTTATAAGTATTTTTTTCATGTCATCTTCACGGCAAGTTCATGAAGCAGGTCTTTTTACTACTACAGTCACACCCTGGTACTCAAGTGCTTTGAAGCTTGTCAAATTTGGTACTCGCATCTAGATGAGACAGTTTTACACCACATTCATCATTTGTTTGGTACTCCATACGCAGCTAGAACCTGTTGGGATCAACTGTCTTAGGACAAAATCCTTTACAGTTTGGTAAGTTATCATGCCTCCTGGAATCAATTAACGAGTAGCAAGGCATTGCTGTATCTCCGTTATTAGAATGTACAACCTCAGCACGGTAAGTGGCAATACCAGGATTTCATATCCAGGCAGTCTGGCTTTAGTGTCTTTACTCTTGACCACAGTGTTATGCTGTCTCTTTAAGTAAGATATCAGAAATCTGTTCTAAAGTGTGCTTGGTCTGGATTCAAAACTGTCCAGCATCAAATCCCAGTTCAGTATTTACAGATCAAGATACTGCTTTCTAAAACTGATGCTCTTTGTGATTTGGTTTTCCAACTACAGAAGTAAGAGAATGAGGGTCTTTATCTCTTGAGGTTGTTGTGAAGAGTGAGTTAGCCAATGTGTGCACAAACTACTTTGAAAAGTGCTTGAAAGAAAGCATGCATAAACTGTAGTTATGGTGCATATATTAATGTAAGGTAAAACCTACTGCAGAAACACCAAGTGAAAAAAGTACATCTTAGAATCCAGGCACTAAGGCATTTTAACCTCAAACTAGATACCTGTCATGGTGAACAGCAGGATTACTTCGGTACCTTAACTGAAATTCAAGGATCCTCCTACTAAGGATCAGGATTCAGCAGGTCTGAGGTGTGGCCAGAGTACCTGTATTACAACTTTCAGGTGACTTTCCTGTGGCCTCAGCCTCCCAAGTCACCCAGCCTATTGGTGTGTGCAATCACACCTGGTGTCACTTTGTTGTTTTCATTCCTATCATGTATTAAATACTGTAAGCTAGGGAAATGAACGTTTTATTGTGACTTGCACTTGCAAACATAACACCTTATATGTTATTTAGCACTTGCAAACATAATAGCTTATGTGGTTCTTTTCAATAATCCCAAGAAGGAGGCATAATTTCCATCTCAGGAAGGAAATAAGTTTAGACAAATACTCTAAGTGGCAGACACTATACCTGGCCCCGCTAGCTTAAATCACCAGAACAGCATTTTGCAACCTTTTTGTTTCTCAATATTTTCTTTTTAACTGCTGGTGTACTATTTTATAGGAGTGTATCTCAATTTAATGCACAGTGTTACTAATAGTTAATGAGCTTCTGAACAGTGAAACAGTTTCTAGCTTTTCTCCTTAAAACGTTGCAATGCATATCCTTACAAAAATCTGTTAGTGTGACTGTTTCTACAGAATAGATTTCTGAGATCACACTGCTGGGTTAAAAGGTCTATGTAATTTGTCTTGATAGTCTGAATGCTCTTCAAAAAGATTCTAGCAATTCATAGTACCATTGGTAATGTACACAAATATGTTTACCTACATTCTCATGGCCACTAGATACCATTTATTTTTAAACTTTTCTTATTAAACCTCAGTGTCTTTCAAATATATCTTCTGGCCACCTGAATTTTTCTTTCATTGGATGCTAGTTCAGATGCTTTGCCTCACTCCCACCTCACTGCCTCTATTTTCATTTTTCTAGTTGGTGGGAATTCTTTTTTAAAATAAATTTTATTTTATTTTATTCCATTTCCCCCTTCAAACTCCCTCCCTTCCTATGTACAAAACCTTTGTTTCCATTTTTTTCCTTCTATTTTCATTCTACAAGCCAGGGCTATTAAACTTGGGTCCCGAGTACTAATGTGCATTCCTTTTTGCTCTGCTGTCTGTCTCAGGACCATGTGGTCAATTTCATGTTTCACTTTGCCAAAGTCAGTGGTGTTTCTTTTCCTTAGTAGTTTCTGGGTTTCTTGACTTGCTTAGGAAGGGCTCTCTTACCCGAAAGTTAAACAACATTTTCCTAATTTTTCAAAGTATTTTCTTATTTGTAGGGTGGTTTTACACATCAAATTCCCTTCCACTGACAAGCACTAACGAGTTAATGCTAATTTAAATCGTTTTTATTCCACTCAGTGAAATATTATCAGGCTATGGGTAAATAAAATGAACACTGTTTTGGGAATATACTTTACTTTGCTATACTTTGGAAGTCAGGGATGCTCTATCATTGAGCTACATTCCCAACCCTTTTTAAGTTTTCATTTTGAAAGAGTCTAAGTTGCTTAGGCTAGCCTCAAACTTTCAGTCCTCTTATCTTAGCCTCCCACATAACTGGCATTTACCATCACATCTGGCAATTTTCTATACTTCACTATTTTTAAATGTTTCTTTTCTTTCTTTCTTTTCTTTTTTTTTTTTTTTTGGATTTTTGAGATAGGGTCTCACTATGTAGTTGAGACTGACCTAGAACTATGGATTTTTGAGATGGTCTCACTATGTAGTTGAGACTGACCTAGAACTCATCATGTAGCCCAGGCTGGTCTTGAACTCACAGTAATCCTCCTGCCTCAGCATTCCTGAGTGCTGGGATTACAGGCGTGCGCCACCACACCCGGCACTATTTTTAAATTTTAAACAGATTATTCACAAACTTAGGTACTTTATAATTTGTAATGAATGACGAGTGATTCTAACCAATAAACAACACAGCAAACTGCCCCAGACCACACTACATTTCTGAGTTCCTGACATAAACTCTTGATTCTATGTGGACAGATTTACCTTAAACTTCACCTCAATTCAAAACATGAACAAAAACAGAATGGCTAGATTACTATAATCTTTTTTTCTTTTAAGGCCAAGAGTAAATACATTTTGTATTGAAAAAAAAAAAAGAACAACAACAAAAAAATTAAAACCAGAATCAGTAACCGAAAACACCAGCCCGAAAATACTCACACGGCAACCAGCTGGATTTTGAATTTGATAGATGTTGGATTAAATTCTGGCTTGCTCAAATTATGTTCACATTTCTAAAAAGAAAAATATGTTTTAGAGGAAAACTAGAACATACTTAGTTGATCCATAGAGCTGGTATATTCAGAAGGAACGCACTTACTAAAATATTGATTTATTTTGCTAGAAGACCACAGTTTTTGAAAATGTATGCTACTGAAATTTATAAAAAGATGTTTAGGCTTCTAGATATAAGCAAACACTATGAAATGCTATACTGAAATAACTAACACGTGTCAGTTACGTGTTAGTTAATTAGGACTTCTGTGAACAATATATTCCCTGGCTTAAGTGAATTGTGTATCACATAGACTTTATGAGGAAGTTGTAGCTACTGTAACTGTTGATGTTTTCATTTTACAGGTGACTAAAATGGGACACAGGAAAAGTAAATAATCTATACAACTTCACAGAGCCAGTAAGAATGAAAGCTGGGATTTAAATCCAAGCAAGGTAATTCCAAATCTCACACTTTAAAATACAGTAATGAATATTTACTACTTTTTTTGGGGGAGGGTGCTATTTACTACTTTCCAGAAAAAAGCAGTATGTAAAACCAGTTAAAATTTTTTAACAGCACAGAAAAGATGTTTGTTATAAAGAGTACCTATTATCTGTGTGTCCCCTTATTCCCCTCGCCAGAGGTGTCCTATGCATACAAGCTATGTGCATGTAAGTGTAAGCACACATCACCTTTTTCTTTTTTCACAATAAAAGTGCAGTTTTGGATTTTTGTTTTGAGTACTAGGGATTGAACCCAGGGCCTCTGCACTGACCTACATCCCTCATATCAGTTTCTTGTAGTTCTTATTTGAGAGAGGATCTTGAAAAGTCACTAAAATTGTCCAGGCTAGACTCAAATTGGTAATCTTCCTGCTGCAGCCTCCCAGGATTCTGGGAGTGCAGGCATGCAACTCTACACCTAACTCAAGGGAGCATTTATACATTCTTTTGCCCTTTGCTCTTTTTGCTCAAGTTGGCACACCCTTTCCACACACACTGAGAAGCCTCTGTCCCACTGTAACCATTTCTGTACCTTATTCAGACAGAAATTGATGAACATCTGAGATATTTCCACTATTTTGTTACTACAAATAATGCAGCATTGAGTATTTGTAATAGATGAATCACTTTCTAATGTGTAAATGTACCTGTAAGAGAATTTCTTAAGACCAGATCTATGTATGTATGCATTAATTACTTTGACAGACACTGCCAAACTGATAACTTTAGCCAATCTGATTGTGAAATGACAATGGCTGGGCTGTGGATTTAGCTCAGTGGTTCTGTTGCCTTGCAAGTGCAAGGACCAGAGTTCAATTCCCAGCACCAAAAAAAAAAAAAAAAAAAAAAAAAAATACTGACAATGGCTGGGGATTTAGCTCACTGGCACTGCACCTGCCTTGCAAGTCCCAGGTCCTGTGTTTGATCCCCTGAACTGGGGAAAAAAAGAAGTGCTATATAGACAGAAAAAAGAAAATCATTAAAAAAAAAGGGCCGGAGAGTTAGCTCAGTGGTGCCATGCCTGCCTCGCAAGCACAAGGTCCTGAGTTCGATCCCTGGTATGGGGTGGGGGGAGTGAAAGAAATGACATCTGTGGCAGGTTTAATGTATGTTTTCTTGATTTCATGTTCATTAGATACTGGAATTTTTTTTTTCTGCCGTGATTTGTATGTTAGCATCTACTAGTTATTTTGTACTGGCATATGCTTTTCTTGCTGATTTGCTAAAGTTCATTCATTATATATCCTGGACATTAACTGTGTGTTAAATATGTATCATTCAAATTACTCATCTCAGTGTATGGCCTTTTTATTTTTGTATAAGTTTTCTTTGGAACAGAGTCACAGAACTTACTTTCAAAGTAGTTAAATACACAATTCTTTATAATTTATATTTGTTTATAAATTGAATCCTCTCTCACCCACAATTCACGGAGGTATTCCATATTTTCTTTTAGAAGTTTGGTACTTCATATTTGCTCTTAAAGTTTCCAAAGTTTCTGAAACTGTTGTTTGTGTAAGGTATGAGATAGGGACTCCATTTTATTTTTCTTCCATGTAACCACTGACCTAGCAAAACTTAATAATCTGTTCTTTCCCCACTGATCTGGAATGTGATATCTAATAAATTTCAAGTTTCCTTACATGAATGGGTCAATCTGTTTTTCTATTCTGCTGTATATATTTTATATATACACATATTACTGTATTAATGGTATATTATATAACTGACATCTATGTAAACTTAATCTACACAATATTAACTATTATTCTATTGCTGGTGGTTGTTGAGAGAGAGTCTCGCTTTGTAGTTCAGTATGGCTTTGAGCTCGCTGTGTACCCCATGCTGGCAGAAAACTCGTGGTGATTCTCCTGCCTCAGCCTTCAGAGTTCTAGGATTACACATATGTGCCACCATGCCTGTCTTGGTTTTGTGTTTTTATACTGATTTCTTAATTTATTAATAAAGTATCTGTTCTTTCTTCTAGTTTCTTTGGATTTCCTTTGCTGTTATTTTTGTATTTTTCTAACTTCTTGAAATGGATGCTGAGATACAGACCTTTTAACCGTTTTTCTTACCTATATCTTTATACAGAGCTCTATATATCTCTAAGAATGACATTAATTGTATACTAAAAATTTTGCTACATAGTTATTACCAATTTCTAACGTAAATGCATTATGATCAAATACCAAACTTCAATAATTTCATCTTTTATATAGTCTGCAGATCTTAGGGGTAGTTTTTTCTTTTTCTGGTACTGGGGCTTGAACTCAGGACCTTGCGCTTGTGAGGCAGGTGGCGGAACCACTGAGCTAAATCCTCAGCCCTACTGATAATTTTTTTATATATAGTCATTTGGTCACATTTGTAGTTAAATTATTCAAATGTTATATATCTTTACTGATTTTCATCTGTTTGTTTTCAGTTACTGGAAGGAATATGTCAAAGTATCCCCAAATTATTTTTCCACTTATATAATTTTCTCAAATGTTGTTTAACAGATTTTGAGTCGGTATTATTTGGTACATACAGATTTAGAGTGTTACACCTTTTGTGTGAAACTGAATCTATTTTCTTTATGAACTGTGATGGTTTGTCAATATGTTGCCCAAAGGCTCCGAGTGCTGGAGGTTAAGTTACTGACGAGCTTCTGGAAAGCCATCAGATCCCGAGGGCTTTAACGTCATCAGTGGATTGATTAATCCACTAATGAGATCATAATTTGGTGTCACTGGGGGGTGACAGAAATGGGAGATGGGACCTAAGTGAAGGGCGTGGATCTTGGGGACTGACTATATGTGGTCCCTGGCCCTGTGTGTTCAGACTGCCCCGAGGAGAGAAGCACCGCTCCACCATGCCCTTCCATCGAGAAGCTCTGCCTCCCCTCAGGCCACAGCAATAGAACCAGCCTACCAGGGACTGAAACCTCTGAAACCGTACGCCCAGATACATCCTTCCTCCTTTAAATTGTTTTTCTCAGGTATTTGGTCACAGTAATAAAATGCTAACACATACTCTTTTTGCAAAAGTTAGTGATTGTGTTGGGAATTTAGCTCAGTGGTTCTGCCGCCTGCCTCACAAGCACAAGGTCCTGAGTTTGATCCCTGGTAAATAAATAAACAAACAAATAAATAAAACAAAAGATATTAATGTATTAATGTATGAGTTGTTTTTAGGACCGACCAGGGATTTAGCGCAGGGGATCTACCACTTGCCTTACAAGTACAAGGTCCAGAGTTCAATCCTCGGTACCAAAAAAAAAGTGATTAAAAATTAGTGTTTGTGCAATAAGTATTTTTCCATCTACTTTTTTTTTTTTTTTAAATGAAACAGGGTCTTGCTATATAGTTCAGGCTTGCCTTGAACTCTCCTAGATACTCCTGCCTCCCAAGTGCTGGGACTACAGGTATGTGCCACCACACCCCACTCCTGATCTACATTTAACTTTTCTGAATCCCCATGTTCGTATTTCTTGCAATCAGCATGCTGATGAGTCATTGTATTTTATTATTGAGATGGAAAATTTCTGTCTTTTAAAGAAAGCATCTTGTCGATACTGAAAATAAATACTGAAATGTCAGGCTTTTAACTGTATGTTTTCTATCTGAGCTACCAGTTAGTTTTGTTATTTTCCTTTCTCTTTAAAAAAGATTTTAGAAATTTTCTAACATACAAAAACACGGCTGGTATTATAAATCCCTAACTACTTATCATCCAAGCTCAACTGGGAGGTAGTTAAGAGATGGGAAGGGGTAAGAGGGGAAAGTGGGAAAGGGAGAGGGGGTCAAATGACCAAGATACAATATACATGTACAATTTCCTAAAACAAATGTCATCATTATGCCTTGTACTATATACCAATAAAAAAGAAAAAAAATGAGCAACAATGGCTAATTTTCCTTCTTCTGTACTCTTACCCACTCCTTATCTATGGTTATTTTGTGGTAATTATCAAACATCATGTCATTTCATCCATATATATTTTGGTATATATCTCCAAAAAATATTTTGAAAAATAACAATACCATTTTTATCCCTAAGAATGATTCTTTAATAATCCTACCAATACTTACATTTCTCCAAAGATTTAATAAACTTTTCTTTCCCTTTTTCTTTTCCCTCTTTTTCTTCTACCCTGGGCCCTTTTCTATGTTTTGTTTGGATCAGGATCTACACAGACACATTCCGTTTAGTTGTATGCTTCTTAGATCTCTTTTAAAGTCTAGAGCTGCATTATTTGGTAATGTGAGCCACTACCCACAGATAGTTATTTAAAGGAATTAAAGATTCAGTGACTCAGGTCCAATATCACATTTCAAGTGCTCAGGCACCACACCCCGCTGGGCTGGGTAGACAAAGACCATTTCCATCATCACAGAAAGTTTGTGAGACAGTACTGCTCTAAAAGAGTTCTTTTTTAAATTTGTTTTTATAATTTATTTACTGAAGAAACTGTTTATTCTGTAGATTCCTAGAACTTGAAATTATTTTCTTCTTGCTTTCTTTTAAACTGTTTATTTTTTTCCCCACCTCTGCTACTCTAAAAGTTATATATCCTTTAATTATTCTTTTAGGGGTTAGCACTGTGTATAGAACCTTCAGTATCTCAGTTTCCACACGTATAAAGTAGGGAAAACAGTAGTACCCACCTTCATAGGACTGTGAGGATTGAGTTTATCTTGAAAACATTTAAAAGAGTTCCTGGGTTTCTGGTATGTTTGGTATAAGTTTTCTATGTCTACTACAGTGGCCAGCTACTAATCGTGTTCAGTTTTGCTTTTCTTTGTACGGACAGCAATTCAACAGAAAAGAACACCTACCCGACAGCGAAGGGACCGTTTGATCAGAAGATGCTTGTGTCGAGGATAAAGCTGTGAAGCACAGATCGGTTGGAAATCAGGCTGTAGGAGGCGCTGCTGAAGAGTGGTCACTACATGAAAGGCAGAAACCAGGCTTAGTTTATAGTCAATTCCAAAAGCAGGCTTAAATGCAGCTGGCAGTGACATAAAGGAATACTGTCATGAATAATGTCAAGAAACTTACAGTATAGAAACTGGACAGGCATTTTAAAGCTCTTCATTTTATCTATTATATGTATTTTATTTTCTGCATATCATTTTGCTATCATACTACACCTATCCCACTAAAAGTCTCCAATCGCAGGAATGTAAGTGAAAAAAAAAAGTAGAACATGTAGAACAGAAACAAAGCAGAAAGTATAAGGGCCAGGGATTTAGCTCAGTGGTGCCACCACCTGCCTCACAAGCGCAAGGTACCAAAGAAAGAAAGCAGAAAGTGTAAAATTACCCTCTGTTAAATTAACTGGTCTTGTGTAATAGTCTTCAGGTAGAGGCTCCACTTCATCCACAGCCTGAGCTGGCTCAATCTTTATCTCTTTCTGGTCTTCTCCTTCTTTAAGGCTAGAAGATACAATGTAATAATTTCCCCAGAGTCCATATGACTCTCCTCAAAGTTTATTCTAAGTATGACAATCTTTTTCCCTACTGGCAACTGTTTTTCTTTTCCCCTTTCTTTTTAAAAATCACATTCCTTAAATATTTTGATACCAACATTTTTCTTCTAAGTCATTTAATGTCCGAACTTACGAAAGTCCAGCAAGGGTACTGATGGATGCACCAGCTCGTGGTCGCTGAAGCCTTGTTCCAAGACCATATTTGTCCTAAACAAAGTTAAGAAATTCCTATTAGGAAGTGTGTACTTACATGTTATATTTATTGAAACAAAAATTTGGGGTGGGATGGCATGAGAAGCTCCAGGAAATAAGCAAACAAAACAAAAAAGCTAATTTAAAAGCTTCTTTTAAAGAATAATTTGTAGCACCACATCATTATTCTATTCTGAAAATAATAAAAGCACCAAACATGAGACTGAAACTTTAATACAGTAAAAGTGCAAATGTGAACTTTCACTATTAATCTAAAAATATCTAAGCCATGGCTCAGGCAAGACACACAGTGAATTTCTTGCTGGAATACTTCTGCTAACCATTTGCTAACGTCTTCAGGGTCAGCAAGAATCATAAAAGAGAACTTACCACTACATGAATAGTATGTTGCTGTCGAGCCCCCAAATAGCAGCAGGTTGCAACAGAGACAAAAAAATGCAGCATAAGATAGAAGCAAACTCAACAGCAGGCAGGTATATGGGAAAGTTGGAAAAATAATGCATTTAATTAAAATTCCTCTCCTAAATACAATACACTGTTGTGCATATGTTTATTATACCATTGGATTATCCAGGCAAATCCATGTAAATGTAGGTGCTTCACAAAGGTGAATGTTAAGTTCAAGTGTGAATACTACTATATGGACTTTAGCCATCCTTAAGGTTTTAATGGTTTAACTAATTCTCATGTGGACATAGTATGACAAGTCACTTAACTTTTTCAGATCTCATCTCAACTGTAAAATGGATACACTATTATACCACTTGTGAGGATGAAATAAAAAATATATATGAAGTGCTTAGCACAGTGTTGACATGTCATTGCCATTCATCGTTACTTATTAAATGTCAACCTCTGGGCCCCAAGCAAGCACAAAGAAAACAAATTGTTCAGTGAAAACAAAAATAATAATAAATAATAAACAAAACAAAAAAACTTGAGGTACAGTAAGAAAAACTCAAAACCCTAATCTCTCTTGAATCTGCGTACTTGTATATAACGTGGTAGACAGCTTCCGTTAATTAATTCCTGCCAAAAATTCTATTTACATGTTAACATTTTTTTGATCAGGCAAATGCACTATGTAAAGTCAGTGTTTCTCATGTTGGAAAAATATGGGATAGTATGTTGACCAGAGCTGGGAAACTACCATGGTGTCAGAGGTAGGGTGCATATTTATTACAAGTGAAAGTAACCACTTGACCCCTTCCCTCTTCTCAGACTTTCTGCAATATGCAAAAGTGGCAAGCGGAGCTCAGCAGTGCCTATAAAATTAAACAATAGCCTTTGGGGGGCGGATTAAAGAGAAAGGGGAGTGGAAAAGAAATGCAAATATTTCCCAAGACACAAAAAATTCAAACAGAATTAATACTATGGGAAAAGCGTAACTGCTGGGCTTGACCATCTCTGTCATCCACCATTCAGGTATCTAGGACAATGGCATTTTCAGAAATGGTCACTGTTCTTATGTCTCACAGGTCTTACAAACTCCTCTGGTACCAAATCTCACCGAAAAAGCCAGAGGCATATAGTTTCTACGCCGTGCCAGTTTCTTGCGATCTCGTTCAACCTTTTCTTTCTGAGCAAGCTGCTGATAATATTCAATCAGTTTGTTCATCTGTAAGAAATCAAAGAATCAGTCTTTGCTTCAAGAAAAAGATAACAGGAAACACAAAATCAATTAACTATACAGATTAGGCACATAATAAACAGAGAAAACCAATTGTTAAGAATGGGCAAATTTGCCTTTTTAAAGATTTCTGTGCATTACATGATCTAATTTCGGAACTGAAATCTTCAACAACAGAAAGAAAATGGGCAATGGAAAGACTGAAAATTTCCTTTTTTTTTTTTTAAAGACAATCTAGCTATTTAGCCCAGGCTAGCCTTGAACTTGTGGTCCTCCTGCCTCAGCCTACTAAAGCGCTAGGATTTACAGGTGTGTGCTCCACAATCCTGAGTGCTGGGATTGCAGGCATGCACTGCCATACCTGGTTACAATCCCTTTCTTGCGTACTGCAGTATATGCTTTTACTCTCTGCAATTGCAAGCTCTGCATTTGCTCTTCCCCTGCTTTGAATCCCCGCCCCCCTGCATTGTCCTCATCTCTGCACAGTCCTCAGACGTGGACTTAACTAGCTGAAATACTCTAAGAAATGTTTATATGGCATGATTTATTTTTCCTTCATAGCAGTTACTGTAGGCTTTTTAAAATCTGAGAATGCAAAAAAAAAAAAAATGTGAGAATGCTCATTTTTTCCATTAGATTTAACCTCTACGTCAGCAGCAAATTTATTCAGCATAATCCTTAGCACCTTGATAAATATTTGACAGACACACATAGAGGCATAAAATGCAAGCTATTCCTATAGGTAAGAGTCCTGGAAGTAGTTCAACTGACATAATACAATAGTATATATGAGGAAACCCATTTTCTCCATACTCCCACCCAGGATATTTTCAGTATTTCTAATTTCTGCTGATGTCATAGGTGAATAATTATCAGTTACTCTGCACTCTGACAGTACATTATTCAGTCCTACAAGGTTCATCTTCCTCATAGTCTAGTCGAATGAAGGGTAAACAATCAGCCTAGCTATTGTAGTTCAATTTAATTATGAATTAAAGTCACAATCCTATAAGCAACTAGTCCTGAGTTCAATGGTCCTTTCTTGCTTTCCTTCTTTCTCGAACTCAGGACTTCGCACTTGCCAGGCAGGTGCAGCGCCACTGAGCTACATCCCCCGCCCTAATGGTATTTTCTAAATTAGTAATGATTCCAGGGGTTGAAATGTCTACATATGTGTATTTCCAAGACTATCTGAGAACAAATGAGACCTTCATTCACTGGTGTGTGAAAAACAAAAATTATTTTCTTTCCCTCTTCTGACATATCAATCAAATACAGAAAAAAATTACACCTAGATTTTTCTAATACTCAACGAAAAAGATATGATAATATGATTTAATGTCTTAAAGGAGAAACACTCTTTAAACTGGGTGTGGTGGTCACACCTATAATCCCAGCACTGTGGAGGCAGGGGGTTCTGTAACTTCCAGGCCAGCCTGGGATACAGAGCTGGCCTTGTCTCAAAACAAAACAAAACAAAACAAAATGAAACAAACAAACAAAAAAACCCCAACCCAACCCAAAACAATGAGAAACATTTTCTATGTGTAACAGAAAACAAAACACATATTCTGGATTTCTAGGTATAAGTTATAACCATTGAGAAAAACAGAACCTCAGTGTTTTACAGTATCTTTTCTTATTTTAATCTGTCTGTCATATGATCCTTTACATACCCGTTGTGTGTGAGGATTTTCTGGTTCCTGCCAACCACCACTAGCTAGAAAATAAAGGAATATTAAATAAGACTTTCATAATTTGATCATCTTATTTTCATAAAAATAGGACATCTGTAGGACACAAAATAAAAGAACTTAAAAACATAAAATCACAGAATTTCCCCAAAAAAGCCTAGAAATTTTATAGACTGACATACTCAATATAACATTTTTTCTTTAAGTATGGTGGTGGTGATAATGACCACGCTTTTTCTACCACCAATATATGCATAATCTCTGTACCAGGTTCCTGACAAGTATTAGTACTTCTTTCTATTCTTGTAATAACTTCTGAGGACGAACTCTTTTTTTTCTTACTCTTTACTTTTATTTTCAAAAGTCAAATGTTATTCTTAAATCATCCCTTCTCAATTTTGATTTAATGTGTTGTTATTTTCCCAAAATACGAAATTTCAGAATCTCTTTGGAATACTAATCATGTTTCTATGTTTAACAAAACCAAAGTTTTAAATTCCACTCTACTTCCTTGAAATCTCAAGACAATTGCTGACATAAATTTTAATATAAATTATTTAGTCACAAAGTTGTAAGATTACTTTGCTCTTGTCGATAAAAACTAAACCTTCGTTCATAAAGCTGAATAAATTAAGAACTGTGTAGAACAAAAACTACACGTGGTAAAACAGGTACCAGCACAACGTTAGGTTAGTCTCATTTAACGAACGAGCAAACTAAGGTTTAAAGCTGATAAACAACCTGCCCCAAAATGCATGGATAGTGAGGGGTACAGCTAGAACTCAAACTCAAGCAAGTGGTTTGACTCCAGACTATTCTTTTCTTTGCGGGGGAGGCATGGTCTCACTATGTAGCCCTGGCTGGCCTTGAACTCACAGTGATCCTCCAGCCTCAGCCTCCCAAGTGCCAAGATTACAGACATGTGCCACCATGCCCAGGAGGAGCCCCTGTTCTTATCTGCAACATTATGTAAATCCTGTATCAGCGGTGGTGAACCTGTGGCATGCACGTGGCAGCAGGCACACAGAGCCCTCTCTGTCACCACATGGGCCAAGTTGCCCCAGCAGCCGAGCATCAGATAACAGTTGTTTTTCCTAAACCTCAGTATTTAGGTTTAATTTCAGTGTTGGCACTTGGTGATAAATAAGTGGGTTTTGGGCTGCAGGTTAGGCACTCAGGCTCTAAAAGGTTCGCCATCGCTGTCCTATGTTCTGTGACCCTAGAGAATTTCTTATAGAATTAACACTTGCACAAGTAATGAAATAAAAGATTATTCAAGAGAGTTCAAAGTAAAATCACAATGAAAACTTTCAACAAATGATGCTGCAATTCGATATATCCATATTTTTAAAAAAACCCTCTATCTTTATCTCACAACACATGCAAAACCCACCCTGGACTGGGCAACAGACTTAAACTGAAGATGTAAGATCATGCCATGCCTAGAGAAGACATGGGGTAAATCCCAGTGACACTGGGTTCGATAAGACTTTTCTCAACAAGATACACAAAGCACGGACTTTAAAACTGGTAATTGAACTTCAATCAAATTAAAACCTTGTGTTCATCAAAAGACACTAGAATATGAAAAGGCAAGGTACAGACTGAGGAAAAAGTATTTTTAAAACATACATGTAACATCCATGCCTGCCTGGCAAGTGCAAGGTCCTGACTTTGATTCCCGGTACCAAAAAACCAAAACATACATGCAACAAAGGACTTACATCCAAACACAGAACTCTTACAACTCAATGAGAAGACCCACAAAGAATAAAACAGTTTAAAACAAAAAAAATGGCCAAAAGATTAGTAGACATGTTACCAAAAATAATGCAAAAGACTGAAATATCAAGAGTTTCCAAGGGATAAGACTTCTATTTTGCTTGTTAGGACCCCAAATTGCAGCGCCACTTTGAAAAACAGTTAGGCAGCTTCTAGTTAAGTTAAACATATATTTACGACCCAGAAATTCTATGACCCAGAAATTCTACACCTAGCTATTTCCTTAAGAAAAATGGAAACATGTATTTACACAAGGATGCATAGACAAATGTTCACAGCAGTTTTATTCCTTTAAGTTTCAAACTAAAAACTAACCCACACACCCATCAACAGTGGATGAATAAACAAATGGTGGGACAGTCACACAACAGAAACAATACAAATGACATAAAGCAAAATATGGATGAAACTTAAAACATGCTAAAAAGAAAGAAGCTAGACACAAAGGACAATGTACTACAAGACTCCAATGATATAAATTAGGAAAGGCAAAGTTATGGTGACAGAAAGCCTATCCGTGTAGTGAGGGGCTAGGAGTGTGGGGCAGGCGCTGCTTGCGAAGAGGAACAAGGATTCATTCATTCCCAAGTATGACCAAAAAAATGAAGGGTGGGTGTTGAATAAGTATACTATGGTTAAGTTATGCCTGACTCTGAATGGAAAACAATGCTGAGAGAAAAGCAGTAGTAAGATATACTCGGAATGCTTCCATTTGCTTAAATTGAAAATTCCTGGTGGCTATACACAGATATGAAGTATAAAGACATGCGTGGAGAGTAAACACTGAATTTAGTACAGTGATCACTACACAGGTGGCTGGGGCAGAGAGAAAAAGGGATGCAGTAGGAGAAAGGCTACCTGAGGGCTTCAAACTGTACTGGTTATATTTCACTTCTTCAGTTGGGTATTAAGTGCATAAATGTATTATTTATATAATTAAAAATACCTTCTTTTTTCCAAAACAAAAAAGATTTTTAATTACCTCACTGGAGGTGACATTTAATTTTCTTCTAAGTAATGGCTTAAATAACAGTTTTAAATACAATATGAAAAAAAAATTTTTTTTTGGCTTGTTTAGGGAAAATTGTTTTAATTAAAAATTTAAAAAGATTTATGTAGCGTTTAAAAAATATCACTGGATTCTCAAACATTTTTAGACATTTTCCAACATGAAAGGTAATTTTGAACTATTTCACTATCTTGCATTTGTCCCAAGAATTAGAAACACGATTAAAACCACACTAGTCCTTGGAATAAAAAAGGTATGACCATAAAGTTATTAGAACTTTAAAAATTATACAGATAATTTTATGTATCAAAAGATAATTGCCACTCTTTTTTAAAAAAGGGAAAAGAAGTCTTAACAATTAACAACTTGAACATGGGGGCGAATTCATAACTAATTCATAGGGATTTGTTTTGGGGTACATTAAAAATTCTTCAAGAATTGCGTTTATTTTCCCTCTACTCCAAAAAAAGGAAGGTGGTAAACAATATTGACTTCTAGCTCCATCTCATCCGTTGAGAGTTTTCAGTGGTGAGCACAAACGCAAATCTGTTTCTAAGTGAGGCCGAAAGTCCAACTGTTCAGTCTGGGGTTGGGTGGTTTAGGTGCCCATGCTGAGGGCTTTGCCACACCCAACCCATCAGACACTGTCACATGTGACTCATCCAGGATGGATGGTAAGACGATCTGTGAGACATGGCTGTGCAGGCGTTTTCACAGAACAGCCACACTCACATGATCTTCAGGTACCCACAGTGTGTATGTAGACTGACGAGGGTTAGCACAATACAGCAGAATGTGTTGTATTGGACAGCACATACAATTTTCTCATTAAATATACATCTCAATAACTAGAACGCTCGACACAAAGGGACCATGCGAACATTCACAAATGTTTTAAAGGATTTTTCTCTTAAACCCTCACGATTCTTCAGCATGCATTTTTAAAACTCAATACAATTACAAGATGACAGTGTGACAATTTTATGAGAAATGAAACCAGCTTGTGTTCTGAAAATTATCATACTTCAAAGACTAAAGATATCAAGAATAAGCTCAACCTCACACCTAACACCAAATTTTCATCCACATATCTTCAGGTGCTAAGTGCGCAAAGGCATGGTACCTTTCTGATCTTGTAAAGAACTTAGCATAAATCCTTCTAGGAGATGCTCTTGTGCAGGACAGAGAACACTCCCATTTGTTGAGAAAACAGTGTTTTTTAAAACCATTTTGTACCCTAATAGCAGCTATACTAAAGGGAAGAAGTACTATTTATATACTGCACCACTCTCTCATTAAGATTTACCCAGGGCTGGGGATTTAGCTCAGTGGTTTTGCTGCCTGCCTTACAAGTGAAAGATCCAGAGTTTGATCACTAGTACTAAAAAAAAAAAAAAAAAAAAAAAAAAAT